TTATTGAAATAGAAAATTCAATATTTACAACTGAAGGATTAGAAAAATTTTTTGAAAATTGGAAAAAAAGAAAACCACCACTCATTTTCGATATTATTAATAACCCTTGGAGTGATAAAGACAACTTTACAGAACATAATAAGATTATAAAAAAATATTTTGATGAGGGTGTAATTAAAGAATATAATATATAATTGTCATTAGTACTTTGCAATATTCCTTTAATTATTTTTATTCATATTTTACACTAGTATTATATTAGTATATTAAAATATCAAAATATCAAAAATTTTGTAAGATTGCCTATTTTGATTTCTAACAGAATTAAATAAAACTAAACTGCGAATTAATATGAATGTTTTTTTATTTATTAATTGAGTATTAAATACTTTATTTATGTTTTTTATAAATTATATATATTAAATTCATATTATAAATATACTATTAAAAGGTTATTTTGCGCATATGTAACATAGCTATATTTCTCTTTTTGGATGAATATGTTAAACTATTTTACATATACTGTAATGTTAAACTACAAGCTAATTTTTTTTCCAACAACATGTAAAATTCATAATCAAATCGTTAGGCAAGTAAAATAAAATTTTATAATTTATCCATTTTGTTGTAAAAAAAAAAGAAAAGAGCGAAAAGAGTTCATTATTTATATGAATAAAGCATGTAAAATATATATAAGTTTCAGTACTTTAAATAAATAAATTATATCTAAAAATTCATTGCCTTTATTGGTCATCCAGATTTTTCTTAAAAGATCGTATGCAATCCACAAATTTATCATGCTCATCTTGCAAACATTGGGATTCAGCGCTAAGGTAAACTTTGTTTTCCATCTTAATATGTTTGATTAATGTTTTCCGAATTTCTAATTTCATTTGTTCCAATTTATTCGCATATTCTTCTTGTTGGTGCAAGAGACTTTCACGATCAATTATCTCTTTTTTTTTACTCAGAATTGTTCGAATAAAATAAACCTGTTAAGAGTATCAATCCCACCTGGGGTCGTATTTGCCGTTGCTTGTAAACTTATAGAGTTTGAAAAGAAATAATGTATAAGAATCATGATTAGAGAAATAGCCCGAACACCTATCACTATATGTTTTGACATTAAGTAATGATTATTTAATAAAATCATCGCGTATATGTATGACTCTTTAGGAATGATATCACCAATGTTTATATTTGATACAGTTATAACCACTCTAATAATAATATCATGTCCAATTACGCCACTGAGAATATTATCTTTTTTCATATCTCGAATCATTTGATTTGCATACTTTGTTAATGTTGGGAACTTTTCTGAGTCCAGAAACTTGACCACAATATTTGCCTTCTTTATGAGCGGTAGTTTTGGTTCCTATTGTGGAAGGAGTTTCATTGCTCGTTTTCCTGATGTTTTGAACTGCATTCCTGGAGTTTCTGTGAGTGCTAACTCCATTTCTACATTCTCTTTTTCCATAATACGCTTTTATAAATACCAAATTTCAATATAATACGAGTATAAAATAATATTTTATATGAAATATATTTATGTATCATAGAAGCAAGTTATAAAGTTTGTGGCTACTGTTTTAACTAGACGGCTGGGTATGTATTAAGTAGCATTCTAAATCATCCAAGTTTAGCTTGATTATTAATTTCACTGAACAAAATTTCTACTTTTAATTGTAAGTTGTAACACTCATAAGAAATTTTATGATCTTAATCTTTCCTTAAATATTTGTCAAGGATTAAATCCAAAAATTCGTGAGGGTGCCAAATATTTTTAACGATACAGAAATCCAAAAACAATTTTTGGACTTGGAGGGTAAATATGTAGGGTTAACGAAAAGATGTTGATAAAAAGACCAGCAGCTGAAAAATTATACAAGCATTTCAATAGATGCTAAGTAAATTTTTTTTAGCATATTACCAGGTAAAGAGTAAATTATTTTTAAGAAAATTCTTTTATAGATACGAAGGTATTAATCACCTGTTATCCTACTATACGAGTAGAAAAATCTATTGTTTTCCAAAATAATAACCAATGAAGATTCAGGTATTATATTTAAGTACAAATCTATTTATTTACTTTAATAACTATACATATTATTGGATGGAAGAGTAGCTATATCGGTCACAGGACCGAATGATTGGATGAAAATGGGCCACATAGTGGCCATTTTCACCAATCAATGAGGGGCCCTGTGACCCCACATCCAATAAAAGTGTTATCGTTCTGACGCTTTTGATCATGCATTAATTAATAACATCATAAATAAGGTTTCTATAAATTTCATTTTTAATCCACTTTATAAGCTTTATTTAAACTTTTCCTACAAAATATTTATTCTTTTACTCCACTTTATTATGTGTCATTGCTATGGCTAATAAAAATATCGGTCTATGAAAATCTGCATAGTTTAATTTCATCCATTCTAACGGCTAATTTTGTAAACAAAAAATATACTATTAATCCGCATGTAAAGTTACAGGACGAGAATGAGCGTCATTTATTTTATTTATATGGAAAATAATAATTTTTACCCCGCTTGTATAATGACTTCAGTGAGGATTGGACAGTATTTACCGGATGATGAAAATTCGGCTTGAAAATCATCAAAAAAGGCGCAGCACAGTATCAAAATTTCGCAGCAACCATCATTTATATCATTTGCATTATTTATAATAAGAATTTAATATAGATCTATTTTTTTTGTAGGGTATTGTCCAAAATAACTCATGAAAATAGTGCAGGCTTATTATTAATATACTTTTAACGTTATATATATGTACGACTGAAAAGTATTAGGAATTAGGATCATGCAGATTATACAAGTTTGTTAGTATAACAAAAATATTACAATATTACAATATATTAATTATATTTTTACATGTAATTTGTAAATTAGCTTAATAGTAGAATTATTTTGAAGGATCTTGCATTGCAAATAACAGATTTTTATTATCTTTTTTAACCTATTAAATTTATCATATTCGTTGATTGTAATTTCATTATATTATATTCTACTTTTTATTAAATAAAAAGATTAATTCAGAATTATCAAAAAGTAACGTTTTGTTATAGATTAATATACACAATAAACCCTCTTATCACTACTATAATTATCCGAATATAATTTCAGTTATTGACATAATTTGCTGTTTATTTATCCTATATTCATTACTTCTTGGAATTCTAACACAATATCTGTTTAATGGTAAAATTGTGATCATTAGTTTTTTCTGATATTTGTGAACATTTAAATCATACCTTTTCTATTCATTTGATTGCTAATTTTATACTTATATATATATTTGTTTGCAAAACTAATTCTATTATTCAAAAATGATCAAATATTCCTTTTATGGTGTGGTCTGTTTGTACCAATTTTTGTTTGCAAAATCTAGTATTATATTAATGGATAATAACGATATTAAATTTAACAAATTAAATAAATAAGCATAAATTAATGAATTCATAATCATTTTTTTTGCAAATAAGGTTGAGAATTAGAATCATCAGATCATAAAGCTAAATACTTATAAGTCTTAATCCTTATTAATATTAGTAATATACTATATAAACATGATGTCTACTTTATTTATATTAGAATTTATTTCATCATTGTTAAATAATATAAAAAATATATATATACATATATATATATGTTTGCATACTACCATGATTATTTTACTGAGTATTGATATTTTCTAATGGTATCCGATCAAAATATCGACAGCCACTTGCACGACTAACACAAGATCGACAACAAAATCTCGACAATCCAAAATCCTGACAAGTCATTATATCGACAATTTTGTGATGTGTGTTCTAATAAAATAATTTGTTGCAATATGTAATATTTAGTTTAAATGTGTTTGTCGGGATTTTGACTTGTCAGGACTTTGACTTGTCAAGATATTGGATTGTCGAGATTTTGTTGTCGGTCTTGTGTAATGATTTTCGAGATTTCGTACCAAAACCTTTCTAATTTAGTTGATCAGTTAATATAATTATTGAAAACTATATATTTTTATCTGCCAAAATAGTTTTTATTCTCCCTGTGAAATAAAAAAAAAAATCTTTCTTTTTTTCATTGTACTATTTTTTTTTCTTTCGTTTTATATTTTTTAAAATTAGTTTTTTTTAAAAGCTTAGAATGACTTAGTTTAACGTACAGTTCGGGGTAGTTTTTATTGTTATTTACTATTTGCTGTTTTCTTTTCTCCTTTTTTGCTTTTACTTTCGTTAACTTTGCTTTTTTTGCTTCTAAATATTAAATAAATACTCTTTTAAACCTCATTAGAGATAAAAAAACCAGCGTCAAGAAATTGTGTAAATCAGTAATATAAATATAAAAAGGTTAATCACAATGATAATTAATGAAAAATTGTTATTTATCTTAATTATTTTATTTTATTTTAATCGAGAGAAGGAGAATAAAATGTATAGGTTAATAAAGAATTTTTATTTGAAGTAATCAGTATGTATAACAAAAAATTTTGAGTCGATCACGTGATTATTGTATGATTAACCGGTTAAAGTTCAATTTTTTACTACTATATTGTATCATAACCTCAAATTTTTTATTATCATGAGCAATATTTAAAATGAACTGTCGGTGAAAAAAAATATATTATTATCACGTGATATAGGATCGGCAAGTCTGCTTGATAGGGAAATGATTATTGCTCAATTTAACAAGATTTCTGAAACGATGCGATCAAAACAAAACCATAAAATTCTACTGCGGAAATTTAAGTTAAAAGTTTATTTTACAGATCTGTAAGTAAATTGGGCGGATTAATTATCAATAGAGCTTATATACTAATTTATTAATTTCAAATGAATAAAAAGTTAAATGTTAACTTGTTAATAAAATAAAAAAAAGTACAAAAAATGAACCACAATAAAAAATAATTACTAAAATAGAAATTAAATAAAGGAAATTTGAAGCAATAAAAGTGCTAATTTGTAAAAAGGGCAGACTACACTGAAATTATCAGTTCAATCTGTTTCAATAATTTAAAAAGGAATTTATAGTCAATCAATTGTTGCTATAAAACAACTCGCTGACTTAAGGTTGCCAGCCTCGATAGTGTAAATTATAAGAATTACAGTCTATTTCCGCACCACCCCAGGGACTAAGACTACAGTCTACATATACTGCAAGCCAAATATCAAACCAAGTCTCCTTAGGTGTTTGGTTTGAATCAAAATTCCAATAAGATGTGTATGGATTATTCTCATAATCACCTTTATGGTTACAACTATGGTCATTAACAAATATAGGTTTCTTGAAAAATCTCCATTCATGACCTTGATCATCTTTAAAGGTAAAGTGACCGAAAGCTTCTGGTGGATAATCTGGATACGTATAAACTGTTATATTGAGTTTTCCTCTTGTAAAACTGGCATTGGTAATCTGAGGACAATCTTCAGTGCAAGAAGTAATCTGGGCTCCACTAGGATGACACCCGTGAGACTTTTCAACATAAAGGAAAAAAAATACAAGCAAAGAAATAATAAAGTACTTTTGATTCATGACTAATTATAATTGTTATATTTATGTGAATATGTTCAAATTATTTAGTGCACTTATTTATATATATTTGCAACTCCGTAAAAAAATTGATCTATGCTTTAATATTTCCTTTTTTATAAAGTCTCATTTTAATGGAACCAATAATGAAAACCATGGGATTTAAATTCTGTAATAGTCTCATTTTATATTGAAAATCACGGAATTTATCTTTCCTTGCAAAGGACCATACCATAAGATTTCAACAAAAAAGTACGATGTGCAAAATCTTTTTAATTGTATATTTTTTCAATTTGTATTGTACATATTACTATATATATTGTTCCAATAAAAAAAATCTGGTATTTTTATTAACCAATTACTGTCGGTGAAGTGACCATGTTGGTAAGATGATTGTCGGTAAAATGAATCGTTGAATTTGAAATTTAAAAGAAAAAAAAGTCTAAAATAGTTCTACGGATGACCATCCGGATGACCATCCGGGATGACCCCATACTAAATTAAGATCGTCATAAAAAAATAATGTACTATTCCAACAAGTTAACGTTAAACTTGAAGGGAGCTTAAAGCATAAATGTCAAATGAAATAAAGGATAGGCTTGTGATCTGATCATCACTACACTAAAATAGTAAGACCCTTTTGAAAAATTAGTAATCATAATTAAAATGTTATTATAAAAATTTTTTTATTGCTCCCACATTTTTTTTTGGCGTAATAAAAACATATATAAACACCCTTTCTTCAGATGGGTGGAGGGTGGCGTGGGTTTACGTTAAGTTTCGTTTCGTACGGACGGACGGAACGTTAACATTAACTTAACGTTAACTTAACGTTAACACAAGATTAGCTTTCGAATGGTTTCCTTTTTTGGAATCTCACTACCCCGTTTTGGCATTGATTTACCGATCTAAAAATTAAACTTTTCCTTTTATTTTTCTTAACCTTTCCATTTTTAGCAATTGGCGTTCAGGTAATCTTTTTTATCACTTCTTTTTGTCTCCCATCACTCCTTTTCGTCTCCCAACACTTCTTTTTGTCTCCCATCATTCCTCTTTATCTTTCCATCACTCTTTTTCGTCTTCCATCACTCCTTTTCATCTCCCAACACTTCTTTTTGCCTCCCATCATTCCTCTTCATCTTTCCATCACTCTTTTTCGTCTCCCATCACTCCTCTTCATCTTTCCATCACTCTTTTCGTCTCCCATCGTTCTTTTTCGTCTCCCATCACTCCTCTTTATCTTTCCATCACTCTTTTCGTCTCCCATCGTTCCTTTTCATCTCCCATCACTCCTCTTCATCTTTCAATCACTCCTTTTTGTCTCCCATCGTTCCTTTTGTCTTCCATCACTCCTCTTCATCTTTCTATCACTCCTTTTCGTCTCCCATCACTGGTCATTTTTTTTTACAATAACTTCCACTTAAAAGATCTTTCAAAAGTATGTCAAGCTCCCCCATGAAAATGACCTCTTGTTCAATATCAATATCTTTTTTTTTTTTTTTTTTGTATTTGAAGCCGTAAAAGTATGCATGACAATCCTAGAGACTAAACTTATTATCAAAAAAGGATTAATTTTAAAGTTAATATTGTTAGTATAATTTCATTTTGCTCATATGGTAAAAGTATAGAAAGTGAGTAGCATAAAGTGTCATGTAATTGTCATCATTAGTCATTATATTATACACGGTTAGCTTAAATTAATTGAAGTATAGTTAATAAAATAATACTTTTCATTTTGATCATCAGTATTTGTATAACATGTACATACACAAATAACACAATGTCTACATTATTATATTAGAATTTATTTCATCATTGTTAAATCATATAAAAATATATTTATATATATATATATATGTTTGCAAACTACAATGATTATTTAAATGAGTATTGATATTTTCTAATGGTATCCGATCAAAATCTCGACAGCCACTTGCACGACTAACAAAAGATCGAAAACAAAATCTCGACAATCCAAAATCCTGACAAGTCATTATATCGACAATTTTATGATGTGTGTTCTAATAAAATAATTTGTTGCAATATGTAATATTTAGTTTAAATGTGTTATAATTTTGTCGAGATTTTGACTTGTCAGGATTTTGACTTGTCAAGATATTGGATTGTCGAGATTTTGTTGTCGGTCTTGTGTCAGTCGCTCAAATGATTTTCGAGATTTCGTACCAAAAACCTTTCTAATTTAGTTATAATTATTGAAAACTATATTTTTTTTATCTGCCAAAATAGTTTTTATTCTCCCTGTGAAATAAAAATAAAAAATCTTTTTTTTTTCATTTTACTATTTTTTTTTTCTTTTGTTTTATATTTTTTAAAATTAATTTTTTTTAAAAGCTTAGAATGACTTAGTTTAACGTACAGTTCAGGGTAGATTTTATTTTTTTTTGCTATTTGCTGTTTTCTTTTCTCTTTTTTTTTGCTTTTTACTTTCGTTAACTTTGCTTTTTTTAGACAATTTCACCATAGTTGCTTCTAAATATTAAATAAATATTCTTTTAAACCCCATTAGAGATAAAAAACCTGCGTCAAGAAATTGTGTAAATCAGTAATATAAATAAAAAAAAAAGTTTAATCACAATGATAATTAATAAAAATTGTTATTTATCTTAATTATTTTATTTTATTTTAATCGAGAGGTGAATAAAATGTATAGGTTAATAAAGAATTTTTATTTGAAGTAATCAGTATAACAAAAAAATTTTGAGTCGATCACGTGATTATTGTATGATTAACCGGTTAAAGTTCAATTTTTTACTACTTTATTGTACTGTACCATTCATTGATTTCTTAAAATTCGTACAGTACAATACAATTTAGACGATCGTACAGTACGGTTTATCATTATACCTATCGAAACGCTAATAAAATCCCATAATAAAACTTTAAAAAACCATTTTACTCTCCAAAATTGTTATAATAAACTTAATTTAGCAATTATTAATATGAACATAACCTCAAATTTTTATTATTATCGCATGTCAAGAGTAATATTTAAAATGAACTGTCGGTGAAAAAAATATATTATTATCACGTGATATAGGATCGGCAAGTCTGCTTGATAGGGAAATGATTATTGAGCAATTAACAAATTATGATCATCCCACTAATTAATTGTTACATAAAGCCCATTTATTTGCTGATGGATTTTAAGGAGTAAAATTTCTAAATAAGAAATAATATCACTTCCCTAAAATAAGTGTTTTTAATACATATGGTTAAACGTTAGATTCTGCCGATCATACAATAAATGAAATACAAAATTAAAATTTTAATATTACCATATTCTATTTTATTTTTATTTTTATTTTTCGCAATATTTCTAAAATAATACTAATATTAGATCTTTTCTTATGTCGATATATATAAATAAACCAGCAAAAAAGTAAAGCTCCCATAGTTATTCTTTTTAATCAAAAAAAATTCATCAATCATGAAGCACATGGTTTTTATTATTGTATCATTTTTTATATTTTCCAAAACTTTTGCTTTTAAATCTTTAGTAGATTGTACTGGTAATTATCTAAGAACAAATTTTATTTATTGGTTTATTTTCCAAGATAGCCAATATTAATTTTTTTTTTTTACGTTCTTGCTAAAAAGATGCTCCTTACTTTGAACCCGATTACATTTTATTTCTATCAAATAATCTTGTACGATTAAATTCAGTGGGACCAGCCCAAACAGAATATCCTGGTAAAATCCCATGTTGTTTGCAACAGGGGATGATGCTTATTAGTGATTATACGTTTAAAAATGAAAGTTACCAATATACTATTATACCAAAAAATAAACTTTTATGGGTAAATGGATACACTAGCACAAATATCTTAAATTCGAATGATTGTTCAAGTGGAAGCCTTGATTGTAATACACTTTATCAAGGACAATATACTTACACGCGAGATGACAAAATTGATCCCAAAAAATTTTTCTCTCCAGGAGAGGATATCACGGTGGAAATAACTATGTATGGTAATTGTTATTATGACAACGAAACGATTTGCTTATCGTCTTGTCAGTATATCGCTGACATATCTTATAATCCACCAAAATAAATGGATTTATTTATTTTTGTAATATGTATTTTTATAGCATTTGTGCATTAACTTATTTAGTAGTTTCACTTACTTTACATATAGCCAATACTTATGATAATATTTATATCATTCATAATTTTTTTTTGAAACAATTTTTTTACATGTCCGCCAATCTACAGAATCGGCCCAAATTTAATATATGAATTGAAATAAAAAAAAATACGTATTATAAAATGCAGCATAAACAGCGAGTATTTTAATTTGAAGATCTATTATTCCGTGTGTTTTTTTTTTTATTCCATGTTATTTCCGTAAATAAATGGATAAAATTTTTTACAGGGCCATTGCATATTCCTTTAAGAAACATTAACTGTTAAAGGAGATTAATTTATTAAATTAAAATGCTTAATCTTACCTACTACTTTACTTTTCAATATAATTAATATCAAGTTCTTCAATATTTGAAAGATTGATTATCTCGCTCATTTTTTTAATTTGAATCAAATTATTTATAGGTATAAACTACTGTATAATAAATAAAGAATTTTTTTTTTCGCTATATATTATTATTTATTAAACTTCGTTAATGATTCTTACAATAATTTATTAATTCTTAATAATGAAAATCAGTCTCATAAAAGACGTATTATCCAAAAAGGATTTTTTTTACGATTATACGATAGTTAATATTGTTAATAAAGTAGCTTTCATTTTACTTTTATTATTGTACTATATTATATATATAATATAAATTATATCATATCGTCTTTAACATTTTAAATCTCATCAATTTCTGAAAACTTTAAATGAATTTATTCTTTGTATATTATTTGCATCTTTCTATTAATTATAATTTAATATCATTTTAGGTTGGTAGAAGTATATAGAAAGTGAGTAACATAAAATGTGATTTAAAAGTCATCATATTCTACATAAATATATTGATATAAAAAATAAAGGATGCTAAATGAAAATTATTAATTTTTTTTTTTTTTTTATAAACTAGTAAATTTCGCCATTTTGATCATCAGTATTTGTATAACATGTACAGTACTGATGTACAGGAATAACAGGATACATTCGCAAATCGCAATGTGTTTACGGTACATTTCGCCGAAGGGATGTTTCACCAAAGGGATGCTTCGCCGAAGCATTTTATCGAATCCATTTCACCGAATCGTCCATTTCACCAAATCGTACATTTCACCGAATCGTCCATTTTTTCGAATTCCATTTCACCGAATGGACATTTCGTCAAAAATGGTAGCGATTAACATTTTCATAAAAAATATTCATCGCGCAATGAAAATTATTTTTAGAGATCTTTTTTTTTTCAGGATGTTATCACTTTAACATTTAAGTAACTGATATTAATTATTAAGCAATAATAAATAAATTATTTTCTTGGAAATATTTATTCACGAAAAAGTAAGTAAAAAAAAAGATTAATGTATTATAAACAACGAGATAAATTTAATAAAAAATCATCTAATTCAAAAATTTTTCTAGAAAAGATTTCATGTATTTAGTAAACAATAAAATAACCAATTGGAATAATTAATTTTCGGCGAAATAACAATTTGGCTTAATGTCCATTCGCGAAATGTCCATTCGATGAAATGGTATTTCGATGAAACGTCCCTTTTGCGAAATATTCCTTCGGAGAAAAGTTTCAATACTATTCGCAATGACTACATTATTTGTATTAGACCTTTATTTCATTGTTTGATAATAAAAAAAAATGTTAGTAAAATAAATCATCAATGGAGAGATAAGTTATTCGTAGCTTGCAAATATATATATATATATATTATATATATATATATTTTGATAGTGAAGACTTAATTATTTCAAGTATTGATACTTTCTACATTTAGTTTATCATTTAATATAATTATTATTGAAAGTCGTATATTTTTATCTGCCAAAATACCAAAATACGTAGCCTTTTTTTTTTTAAAAAAAAAGAGAGAATGAAAATGTAGCGGGAAAAATTTTTTTTTTTTTTTATGATGAATTTCATTGCAATGAAATTCTTAAATATAGGGTGACAGTATACAATTTGAGCATAATGTATCGTTTGCTGCTTTAAATTTAAAATAAATATTCATTTACATAACCTTTTCTGGCAAAAACCAATTCCAAATTAGTAATTAGTTATTGGAATACTAACAAAAATTCGTTTACATACGAAAATTACTGCGCCACAATAAATCATGTGATAGATTCTCGTTATGTAATTACGGTAATAAAAAGTTGTGGGGTTTTTCAGAGAAATTAAAACTAAGTTAAACTTTTACGAGATATATTTTCTATAAATTGTAGATTTATTCAAATATAATTTAGACCATCAAAATTTAATTAGAAAAAAAACAGGAATTAATTATAGTTAAATATGATTTAATTGAAGAATGCAAGTACTGTTTTGCATATCATGGTTGGTGACAATTATATTAAATATGAAACATTTTCAACTGGTAATTTTTTTCAAATATAATATCCAATCCATTCTCTAAATTTTAGCAAAATCTTATTGTAATAAAATATAAATTTCTTAATTATCACATAAATTATTAATCAAATCGCCTTTTATTGCTGAGTGTGTGTAAAAAATTACATCTAATTAATAATTAAAATAAAATTTTACATTTAGAAGAGTTTGTCAATTTTCAATATGTCTTGTTAAATTTTTTTTTTTTATTACAAATAAATTGGATAAAAATTTTAAATTATTAAAATCTTGTCTTTGTGCCGTGAAATTGAATCTTCAACAATAGCTTTCTTATTTTTTTTTTTACTAACTACAATTATGAGTAACTTTATTTACTGGTGATCACCGGTAACTACTTTCGCGTAATCTTAATAAATTTTATTATTACACGCTCATTAGGATTGTGCGGAATTCATTGTAACGATATTTTTGTTATCATGCCCGATATTTTTAATGATGATCGACAATATAATTATATTAGCACACGCACTAATCCTAATATCACGTATAATAATATCGGGCTATATCGGCCTTCGGCCGATATTTTGACGCCCCGTTCAATAACATACAATTATAAGCTGAAATCAATGCTTTGAACTTTAAATAAAAAGATGAGATTATGATAACCTTTTAAACTTTGAAAATTAAATTAAATTTTAGCTCGTTAGGAGCCAGTCTGTGGAAAGGAAGAAATTTATTGATGATTTTTTAATAAATATTAACAAATAGTAAATACAGAAATACAGTACAAAAAAAATTTTTTTTTAATAAGTAAATATGAAATTTATAATAAATAAATACAAAAGATATTTTTTTAAACAAATAAATATGAAGATTTTTTAACAAGATTTATTAATACGTGATCTTTTTTTTAACAAATAATTTTTTCTTAAAGGTTACTATAATTACTATATCATAATTAATAAGAAATTCTAGTTGGAATCTGGATTGGACCGGACTGGTTTCAAAATACGGACTTTTGTGAAATACTCCAACTAAAAAGACCGTTAAATTAGGAAAGTTACATAGATTTGTTAAATTTAAATCATAAAATTTTCTTTTAATCAAAATATAAATAAAATAAATAATTACATACAAGCATAATATGATATTCTTATACTTAATTTTAAGTAGTTTGAGCTTAATTAGTTTCATCTATAATAAAAAATAGTTTAATTAAAATTCAATAGATTAAAAAAATCACATGCAAAAGTAGTCAATCACCTTTAGAATTAATATCTAGTTTAGTAAAATCCATTTTTAAGGAATCTATAAATATTAGTTGTTAGCATTTCAGAATAAATTTAAAATATTAGCACGTTATATATATACCTGAATATTCTATTCCATGTAAATCATCATTATTATCAGCATTTTTTGGTTCTGGAAGATTTTTAAAATCTAAAAGTCTACTTGTGTAAACTGCCTGAGGATGTGTCATATATGATATAGTACCAGTAGATTTTAAAGGTGATGAAAAATATAACTTTTTATTAATATCATCTGTTTCCTTAACTTGCTCATAAATCACAGAATCCAGTTTATCAATATCATCCTCTAAACCCCTGAATGACTTAAACAATTCATTTATATCAGGTCGTTTTAAAGGGTCAGCATCCCAACATTTATTAATAATGTCAAAAATTAATTGAGGAATTTTATAATTAAACTTTGGCCTCAATCCATTACAAATTTTCATTGTTAAGAATTCATCATGAGCTACATCATAATAAGGAGGGAAACCTGTACATATTTCATATGCAATAATTCCATATCCATAAATATCACCTGCTTGAGTATATTCTTTTCCTCTTAAAACTTCAGGAGCTACATAAGGTAATACTCCATATATTTTTTTATTACTATTTTGAGAGGATTTGACATTTGCTGGTTGACACAATCCCAAGTCAGTAACAAAAGCTCGATGCGCGGAATCACTTAATATATTCCCACAATGAAAATCCTGATGAATTAATCCTTTATCATGAATATCTACAAGACCAGTTGTAATATCAGTTAAACTTCTCAGCTTTTGCTTCCAATTCAGTGAAATGAAGTTGTTATTTAAATGTTGTCTTAAACTGCCATTTTTTAATTCCATTACCATCATAAAATTCTCTGTTTTTGGATCTTTGGTAATACCAAAACAACGAACTATGAACGCAGAACTATATACTAAAATATTTGATTCAACCTTTAAAGAAAATTATAGTTAGTTTCATTTATGAAGGCTAATGAAGATTTATAAGAAAATAATTTACTTCTTTTAAAAAATCTGCTGTAATATCTTGTGAGTTATTTAAGCACTTTAAAGCGACTTTTGTATCAACTTTTCGTTCCCATTGTTTATTGTCAAAATTTATTCCCCAAGGACCATCTTTCCAAACTGCTTTAAAAGTAGTTCCAAATCCCCTTTTGCTAAATATTCAACATCTTCAAATTTATCATATTCAATCCACTCTATAATTTGGTTATTATTTTTAGCGTTTAATTGTACTTTTTGAATAAATTCATCAACGTCATGATTTCCACTTGTCCAATTTTTGAAATTTTGTTGAAAATGATTAGAAACACATGACCGACAATATAAAGCACCAGTTCTAGGCTGCATACAATCTTTACATAAACCATAGTTTCTATAACGGTTTTTTAATTTTTTGTCTGTTATTAGTTTATCAATTAACGATAGTTGTTCTCCAGTCAAATAATAATTATTGAAGTCTTTTATTTGTTCAAATACATCATCACTTAGTTTAATTTGATCCATTTTAATAAATAATTTATTAACAAAAAATGTTTTTAATTCTCATTAAAAAGAAAATGAAAAAAAATGAAAAAAGTAATGGTGAAACGACTGAAACGTTATTTATGTTGCAACGATTTCAAGATCAGCAACAAAATTATGGAAAAAAAAGACTAGTTAAAATGCACAAACGAAACACAAAAATCTGATCGGCAATTAAATTTATTCAATTTTGGCAAATTACGGCTTTTTATTTAAATTCTCCATAATAGGATAAATGACGAAATAAATAAATAAATAATAATAAAATGTTTAACTAAATATAGTAAATACTGTAATGTAATTAATGTAATTAAAAAAAGTTGTGGATTTTTTCAGCGAAATTAAAACTAAGCTAAACATTTTTTATGAGATATAATATTTTCTATAATTGTAGATTTATTCAGATATCATTTTGACCGTCAGAAATTTAACAAAAAAAAAGAAAAAAAAAATTAATAAAAAATATGAAGAATTAAAATATTATAAATAATATGATTAAAGTACTTTAGTAATGTTTTGCATATCATGGTTAGTGACAATCATATGATATTTAATATTTTTAACTAGTAATTTTTTTTTCGAATCTATCATATTCAATATATTCTGGGAAATTCGGAATTGTTTTAAATGATAAATACAATTTTTATTTTTTGATCTTTTTGTTCAATTTGTAACAAATTTTAACTAGCCTTTTTTTTTTCTTTTTTTTGCATTGCTTAAATATTACATCAACATCAACAGTATTATTTTTTCTTATTTATCAAAAATTTATATTGAAGGTTAAGCTTTTTTGAATTATGTGTTACCAATTTTAATTCTATATGAATAAACAGAGAAAAGATTTTATTTTGTTTAAATAACATTATGGAACTTCAAGCCTATTAACTTCTCTATGCAGTAGTTAAAAAGAATATTAGTCACATGAATAAGTAACACAATATCATTTATTGATCATCTTCTGTTTTATTATTATAATTTCCTTAACAACGACACAATAGTGTTGTTTTCTACACTCATTTAATAGTTTTTCTGACTTCTTTATCGAATAAAAAAACCTCATTTGCAGAAGTGATCACTGTATATGGTTAAGCGCAGACTTCCAGGTACTAAGAAATGTTAAGCCGACTTTCAACCCTAAAGGTGAAGAACTTGAATCAATATTAGTAGGATTATATCCAAGATTATTTTCGTCACTATAATCACTATCACTATCCTCTGGAATATTCCATTTCATCCATAATTATTGATCGTGTATAGAAAATCTAAAATAAATTGTTATTTTTTTTAAAAAAAAAAGAGAAGAGAGAAACAAAATAAATACCAGATATTATGTATTTATGTGCCACAATAAGCTTAAAAGTATAATTATAAAATAATTAAAATGATTATTTATCTCATGCACACCAAAATTGATGGGCGTATAATATTTCTTTTTTCATTTTTTTTACATCAATTTTTTAATCACATTTTTTAATTAAAAAAAAGTTTTTTACTTTATATAATTTACAAACCAGATAAATAAAAAAAAATTAACTTTTTAATAAATAGTAACATTACAAAAATTTTTTAACAAGTAAATACGGTTTAAAATTTTTTTTTTTTTAAAACAAGTAAATACGAAATTTTAAATAAATGAATATAAAGATTTTTTTTACAATAAATACAATGAATAAAAGAAATTCTGGTTGGGATCTGAATTGGACTGGGCTGGGTTTCAAAAAAATGGACTTTTGTATAGCAGGATTACAGTCAAGACCGTTAAATTAGGAAATTTATATAATCAATCTCTCACCAAAATTATATATTTTGTTAAGTCAATTCTTTAACATGTTAATTTTTTTTATAAACATTGAATATAAATCTGAATTATTGAAAAATTATGTATTAAATTAATTTTTTTTGAAGTTCATTAGGAAAAGAAGAATTCATGATTTTACAACCTGACGCGATCTAAAACTTTAATAACAAAATAAAAAAAAAAATGAATGAACAAACTTTAATACGCAGCAAAACATAGGTTTAATTCGGCTCCTGCTTTGTAGAGCGACTAAACCAATTTGAAGTGGTTCAGCTTGAACCAACTCAAACCAAACCTAACTCAAACCGATATTAGTGGCTGATCAGCACATGACCAAAATAAATTCTTTAATCTTTCCGAATTAATTATTATTTTCTTTACTTTTTTGATTTATTTATCTATTTTTTTTTTAAAGAAATACTAAAGGCTTTTTATTTTCTTTCTTTTAGGTTTCAGCTTCAATTCAGAAGGTTTTTTTCGGATTAATTATTCCGAATAAGATACCTTCAAGGGATGCAAATTTTTTTATAAATTCATCCCAGAGTATAAACCCGGATTATATATGATTTTATAATTTAAATTGTTTCTTTTTTTTAAAATAAGTGGAATAAGTGCAAAATTTAAAATGCTAGTGAATATTAATAATTAAAATTTATTAAAAGTAACTGAAATTTAATATAATTTTTTGTAAATTTTATTTGTAGTTAATTTTTTTAGTAAATAAATTTTAATAATATAAATAGTAAAAAAATAAAATAACAATTATTTTAATATTTTATAGTTTAAAATTTATTTTTCTTTGATCAAATAAAGCCATGTCGCTACATTGTATAATAAAAATGAAAAATTTACTAAAATAATATAATAATAAAGTACTGAAATGGAATAATATATAATAAAAAGAAACACTAAAATTTTTTGAATAATATACTAATTTAATATTCATCACGCGTGCGATGTTCGCTACCTTTTGTCACCCGTGACACTCTTCTTAATTTTGCCCAGAGGCGATGTATCGCTAAGGGCGATAAATAAATTTACTCCTTAAAATTTATTCATCATCGTCTTGATTGAGATCTATTTTAAAAATAATAATAATAATAATTAAATTAAATTAATAATTTCATATAATTATAAAACGGATGTCTTACCTAATTCATTTAATTCACAATCCAAACATTCAGAAACTATTAATAAAATGAAAATAAACATTATTATAATAATCACAATAATCTTTAATAATGCAAATATATACTTACTTGGATTTGCTGATGATGATGAAACATTTTCTATTAAAAAAATAAAAAAATCAATAAATTATATTTTCAAATATTAGTTTTTTAAACGTACAGACGGTACAGTATATTTACCTTGATATGAAGATAAATAATCGGTTGAATTAACTGGTTCTGGAAGATTTTCAAAATTTAAAAGTCTGCTAGTATAAATTGCTTGTGGATGTGTTTGAAGATTTTTAGATTTATTTTCATTTGTTCTGTTTTTTGATTTATTCTCTTTAATTTTTTCACATTCTTTTATTTGAGAAGAAATTTCGCTACCATCATCATAAACGTCAACTAAATATTTTTCCAATATTTGACGTAATTCTTTAGCAGTTGGTCTATTTTCTGCTTTAGCATTCCAACATTTAATAATCAAATCTATAATTAATTTTGGTGTATCTTCAGAAATTTTTGGTCTAAATCCTTTACATATTTTAACAACCAGAAATTGATCATGAGGAATATCATTATAAGGAATTTCTTCTGACATAAGTTCATTCATTATTATTCCAAATGAGTAAATATCAGCTGCTTTTGTATATTGATATCCACGTAAAACTTCGGGTGCCATATAAGGTATTACTCCATAAATTCCTTTTCGCTCATTATCGTTTACTGGTTGACACATTCCCAAATCACTAATTGTTAGTAAATCATAATGATTATCATGTAATATATTTCCCGAATGAAAATCTTTATGAATATTTCCAGCATCATGAATACCTAAAAGTCCATCTATAATACAAAATAAAAATTTCATTTTGATATTATAATCAAAACCTTTCCTTAAAGTATTTCTCAAATTTCCTCCGTCACAATATTCTAAAACCATCATATAATCTTTAGTATTTGGATCTTGAGTAATTCCAAAACACATAACAGTATTAGTAGCATGAACATGACCTGAAATATAATAATTAATCTAAAATCATTAAAAAGAGAAATTTTGTTAATAAATTATGTATTAAAATACAAATATTAATAAGTAATATTTATTTTAATTACCTCATTTAAAAAATCATTACTTATATTAGATGAATTATTTAAACTTTTCAATGCAACTTTTCTTGAAACTCGTACCCATTCTTGATTTTCAATATCCCAATGTTCAATCTTTCCTTCGGGCCAGTCAGCCAAATAAATTTTACTAAAACCACCTCTGGTAAGATAGGTAACATTTTCAAATTTTTCAAAAGGTATCCATTCAAGACATTTTATGTAAATAAAAGCATTAAGTTGTGATTGTTGTATTAATTCATCAATATTTTTATTACCACTAGTCCAATTTTTAAAATTTTCCTTTAATCTTTTAGCATTACAAGGTTGACACCAATATAATCCTGTACCTGGTTCATTACATTCTCCACATACTCCGTATAATTCTTTTCTTTTTTCTAAATCCATAATATTTACTTTTTTAAAAATGGCAATAATTTCAACTGATTCAGTAGTTGCATCAGTTGAAAAAATTGTAGCGTGGGACTATCAAAATAAATGGTTAAAAAATTTTAATAAAAATTTATATTGTTTATTATGTAATAATATTTTTACCTGATATTCACTATTTCTGCTGCGGTCTATCCATAAATTTTTAACATCAGTTTTAATTGTATCTGAATTTTGTTTTGAAGTATCCATTTTATTAATATTTTTCCAAGTAAAATATAACACTTATAATTTAGCGAATATACTCAATTTAATGTTAATAATGAAAAAAAAAATTATTTTGAAAATAAAGTAATTCGAAAAAAAAAAAAAAAAATTGGGCGTAAATCTTCTCTAATTGGTATTACATAATGAACCTTAATTTAGAATCTTGTGTTAATGTTATGACCTCATGACTAAAGGTTATTTCATATGTAAATGGCAAAATTTTTCCTTTTTAGATAGAACTTTAAATCCTGATAAAATTAACTTTTTTACTTTATTGATAAAAACAAGTATTTAATACTGTGATATTTTGATACTGTAAGCAATTTTATTTCTTGTGTTTGGTAAAAAATTAAATATAGTGGTTTCAAAATTATGCCGATCATGTGTCGATCATTTTTTATTCCAGTTCGTAATATTTTAATATTTTTTGTCGAATAGACACATTTTATAAGTGTATAGAGTTTTTATATGAAAAACCTGTTGTTATATCCTTAAAAAAAGTTGATATTTGAACTTTTAAAGGTTCACAATATTAAAAATCATGCCGTAGAAAGCTGCTCTTTAACAGAAAAGTAATTTTATGAGATCAAATAACGATGATAGGATGTATTATTTATTATATATTGTTTATAATTAGTTAATTGTGAAATTGTCTAATAATTAGTACATTTTCTATTAGTGTTAGATATTGTATGACATAAATTATTAAATTTAACAAACTTTTGGGAAACTAATGAAAACTATGTAAATAGTATAAGTTAAATATATAATTTTATTCAATTTTTTTTTTAATATACTGTAATAATTTAACATCATATTTTAATTTTTATATAGAAATTTATTAAATGACACTAAATTTTTGATTCTTTATTTGACTTATTCATGCAAATTATGTTTAATTTATAAAATTTTAAAAAATTCAAAATTTCTTATTAATGCGTCCGATTCTATTATGTGGTTATGTCACATGATTTGTTGATCATTTGTGTGTTGTTTAATTGTTTTCGTCATTAATTTTGAAAGCCACTATAAAAAATATGTAAAATTGACAAATAATGAAACTTAAAAATATTCAATATAATACCATAAGATGTTATTAAAAGTATACCAAAAGCATCAAAGAATATTTATACACAATATTCCAAAGAGCTTTCAAACCGTTTTGCCGCTCAGTAATACCAATTTTTAATTATACAAAATAGTTTAACTGAAACTATGTTTAAAATTAAATTGATTTTTGTATACAATACGCATTTGATATGTAGAAATTTTTAAATAAAAGTCTCTTTATAATGAAATTAAATTTTTTATTGTTAAATTTATCATTATGAAAAAAGAGTCTACTGTGGATAAGTTAAACCTATTCAATAACGCTTGTTTTAATTATAATTCTGTTAAAACACATCAGTTAAGTTTATTTATTCATTATTTATTAAAATTTATTATACAAATTTGTTGTTATATATTGTAAATATTTATTTAAATAAAGTATACTTCTTAAATTTGCATAATATTTGTTCTACACTTTGTTTTACGCTTCAAATTATAAATTATTTCGTTACTATTACGAAAATGCGAAGAAAAGTGGTGGTAATAAAATCTCATTTTCCAGTAATACTTTATACAAGAAAAAAAAAATATCTCGATCTTTAATTTCCTATAATTTCATTTTTCAGCTAAATCAAGTACCGAATGTTCTAAAGTTTTGGAGTCACTATTTCGCTATAATAAATCTGATATTATAATAATTTAAGACACTATACTTAATTGGTCAAATAATACCTTTAGAAATTAATGTTGAACTTGATAAAATCTATTTTTAGGGATTCTATAAAATATAAATGTAAAGTTGTTAATACTATGGAATTAATTTAATATATATATCTATTTGTGTAAACGGTTTGAGGATGTGTTGTATATGAGAGATTACTAATTAATGATAACGGTTGAAGGATATAATTTTTCGTTAATTTCAATTGCTTTCTTAATTTACTCTTTAATTGCAAAATTTCATTTTAAGTATCGTATTCCATCCCTATGAAAAATAAATGTCCAGAAAATGTCGGCGAAAATGTCCGAAATATATCCAGTTATAATTCTGCATGTCCAAAACATGTCCATTTTTTTATTTATCCTGAACTGTCCCGAATCTTGATATGTCTGGAATTTGTTCTAAATTTTTCATGTTGGACAAATTCCGGACTGTGAAAAAAAAATTCAGAAAAATCTTGGACAATATTTCTAAAAAAGGATAAAATAATTTAATTAATTTTCACAAAAAAAATGTAAAAATATCAAAACTGACATTCAAACCTTTATTGACATACTAAGAAAAAATGAAGAGCAGACAAAAATGTTATATATAATTGAAATTTCAGAGTTTGTGCAAATGATCATCATTTGACTTAGCCACTTAGGTCAAAGATCAATGAAACCTGGATGACAAATTCCGAATAGAACTTGAACCAGGACAAATTCAGAATATAAATTGATGTCCAGAAAATGTTCTAAAATGTAATCGTTTTCAGTCATTTACTGGATTGTCCGGAATTTGTACATTATATTTCAGACAATTTCAAAGCATTTTCTGGACACATTTTTTTCATAATTTCGCTGAAAAAAAAAAATTCTACTACTTTCATACATAAACTACATAGTATTTACTATATTTAGTTAACCATTTTTTTTTTAACTTATTTATTTTAATCTTAACTATTATGGAGAATTTAAATAAAAACCGTAATAGTAAATTTAAATTGCCGATCAAGATTATTGTGTTTCCTCCGTGTATTTTAACTAGTCTTTTTATGATGATTTTGTTGCCGATCTTAAAATCATTGCAACATAAAATAACGTTTCCCCACTTTTTTTCATTTTTTTTTTTTTCTTTTCCTTTATTATTTTTTAATAATTTTTACATACGAGTTAATAACATCATATTTTTTGTTAAAAAAATTATTTATTAAAATGGATGAAATTAAATTAAGTGATGATGTGTTTGAACAAATAAAAGACTTCAAACATTGTAATTTGACTGAAGAACAAAAATCGTTAATTGATAAACTAATAACAGACAAAAAATTAAAAGAACGTTATGAATATAATGGTTTATGTAAAATTTGTAAGCAGTTTAATACTAGTTCTTATTATTGTCATCCATGTGTTTCTAATCATTTTCAACAAAATTTCAAAAATTGGACGAGTGGAAATCATGTCGTTGATGAATTTATTCAAAAAGCACAATTAAAAGCTAAAGATGAGGACAATATCATAGAGTGGATTGAATATGATAAATTTGAAAATGTTGAATATTTAGCAAAAGGGGGATTTGGAACTACTTTTAAAGCAGTTTGGAAAGATGGTCCTTGGGGATTGACTTCTAAAAATAAAAAATTGCACTTGGAAAGAATAGGTAAAACAAAAGTCGCTTTAAAGTGCTTACATAATTCACAAGATATTACAGCAGATTTTTTAAAGAAGTAAGATATTTTCTTATGAATCTTCATTAGCCTTCATAAATGTTAAACTAACTATAATTTTCTTTTAAGGTTGAATTAAATATTTTAGTATTTAAAGGTAGTAGTTTCATAGTTCGTTGTTTTGGTATTACTAAAGATCCAAAAACAAATAATTTTATGATGGTGATGGAATTAAAAAATGGTAGTATAAGACAACATTTAAATAACAACTTCATTTCATTGAATTGGAGGCAAAAGTTAAATAGTTTAATTAATATTTCAATTGGTCTTAAAGATATTCATTATAATGGACTTATTCATCATGATTTTCATTGTGGAAATATATTAAGCAATTTTGACGGAAATACTTTTATTACTGATTTGGGATTATGTCAACCAGCAAATGTCAAATCTCCTCAAAATAGTAATAAAAAAATATATGGAGTATTACCTTATGTGGCACCAGAAGTTTTAAGAGGAAAAAAATATACAGAAGCAAGTGATATTTATGGATATGGAATCATTGCATACGAAATTTGTACAGGGTTCCCTCCTTATCATGATATAGCTCATGATGAATTCTTAGCAGTGAAAATTTGTAAAGGGTTGAGGCCAAAGTCAAATTATAAAATTCCTCAATTAATTCTTGACATTATTAATCAATGTTGGGATGCTGACCCTTTAAAACGACCTGATGTACGTAAATTAGATGAGTCTATTTGGGATTTATGGGATGCTATTAAGGAAAATAAAGAGGATTCTGTAATTTATGAGCAAATTAGAGAAGCAGATGATATCAATAAAAGGTTATCTTTTTCATCACCTTTAATAACTACTGGTGCTATATCATATATAACACATCCTCAAGCAGTTTACACGAGTAGACTTTTAGATTTTAAAAATCTTCCAGAACCTAAAAATGCTGACAAAAATGATGATTTAGAATATTCAGGTAAACATACTATATACTTTTCTATAATGACATAAATTTTTTATGATGCTAACAACTAATATTTATAGATTCTTTAAAAATGGATTTTACTAAACTTGATCTTAATTCTAAAGGTAATTACTTTTTACATGTGATTTTTTTGATCTATTAGATTTTAATTAAATTGAATTATTTATTTTATTATAGATGAAAGTAATTAAGCTCAGATTACTTTAAATAGATATCTATGTTTATTATGTAATTATCTAATTTTATTTGTATTTTTTTACTTGGTGAGAAGAGATTGAAGGAATTTTTTATGATTTAAATTTAACAATTGATATAAATTTTCTAATTTAATGTTCTAGAGTCTAGACTGGAGTCCTGCACAAAGTCTATTTTTTGAAATCCGGCCCAGTCCGGTCCAGATCCCAACCAGAATCTCATATTATGGTACCCTTGAGTAAAAAAGCCATTTATTAAAAAAAATCTTCACATTTATTTATTAAAAAACCTTTATATTACTTACTAGAAAATATCTTTGTATTTACTTATTAAAATAAATTTCATATTTACTTTAAAAAATTTTTTATATTGTATTTACTTACTAAAAAAAATTTTCTTATTTTTACTGTTTATTGAATAAAATTACCTTTAAATTTATTAAAATTTATTTACTAAAAAACTATCTATAGAAAAGATATTTACATGATTTATTTATCTACAAGAGAATGAATAAATTGAAAAGGATAAAAAAAGGTTTGTTTTTTATTTAGATTGTAAATTATCAAAGCAAGAACTTTTTTTTTAAAAACAAAATTAAAAACATAAAAAGCTGGAAAAATGTAGTATATAAACTGAAAAGCTATAAAATAAAATGATATTAAATGCAAAAATTATAATGCTAATGATTGAAATCAAGAAATCGGAAAAATTGAGATGATTTATTTCTTTTTTTAGTTTTGTAGAAATCAAATTTTTTGTGTTCAAATCTTTTTTTGTTTCATAGGAATCGAGAACTTCGCCTACAGATCGGAATGGATCAGAAGAATCAGGAGATAAAAAAAAAAATTCGTGTACGAAAAAAAAAGTTAATTTTTTATTATAATTTTTTATAAAAGGAAAAGCGTCTAATTCTGTAGGAATCGAAAACTTCGCCTACGGATCGGAAGGATAAGAAAAATTGGGAGACCAAAAAAAAATTTGTGTACGACCGAAAGAATCAATAATGCCTTGTTTTTACGCCAGATTTTTCTACAAACTATTCAAAATTTATGATAATGACCAAAGCAATTCTATACAGCGTTTAAAAATTTCATATTGAACCTACAAAATTACCAGAAATACTATCTAACATACTTCTCGTCTCTAAAATTAAAAAATATATATGTATATATATAATTGTGATCATTAGTTAGAGATCATGAAATATGAAATAAATGAATTTTCATAGTCGTACTCGAATAAAAAAAATTTTTTATTGATGTAGCTCATAACTGAGAAAAATGATAGTCATGCAATTGTGCATGATATAAAACTTTAAGATCTTAGCCGTTTTTAAAAATGGTTGATCTGATGATACTTCAAATATAAATTTTGGAGGGTTTCTTTTCTCCTTTTTTTTAGTGCGTTCTGATAAACTGACTCTTACACACTTTATACTATAAACTCAAACTAAGTTAAATTCATATTTTTTTATTTTTAATGAGTGTGAAAAGTCTAATTTTATTTAATTTATTAATCTATACTTTTTAGTCAATGAACCAATTACCAAAAATCATCCATTATCTTGTTATACGAGCAGAAATGAGAGTTTAGGTAAAAAATTAGTATATCAAATTTATAACATGTTCATATTATTCCTATATTTCACTGTTATGTATGATGGTTCGTCATTTTTAATAATATTCTAAAAAATCGTTTTTTTAATGTTTAATACGTTATTTTTAAATAAAATCCTTGCTTTCCTAGCATATGAAACCTAAATAGATAGATTTAGCGTTCATTTTATTACTTATTTATTTTTCCTATACAAACATCATTATAATTTAAAACATTAAATCATCAATCAAAATTTGCTTATAATATAATAATACTTTGAGTTTTGATACTTTATTAGCCTGAGTTAGAGTGGTATGTTTTTATTAAATGCATACTTTTTATCATTTTTGTAAAATACTTGTGGCTTATAATTTATTTTGGATGCAATACAAAAAAATATTTTTTGTCAAGATGTTATAAATTATACAAATGATAATTACATGGATTCGTTGCGTACTAGTTCATTAAATATTCAGTCCTAATCTTTAACATTAATTGGTACGATATTATGGTTTCTCCGTGTATTTCAAATTTTATAAATTTACACAAGCTGAACAATATCCAAAATCTTTTATTTACCCAAATATATTGTCACAGATTTTAATTCTTCCATAACAAATAATAAGTAATACAAGAGATTATGGATGAAATAAAAAAAAATAAAAGCAGAAGGTAGACAAAAGTGATGAAACGAGACGAGAAAGATACAACCTAATTTTATAAAAAAATTTATTATCTGTTGTAAATTTTCGTGAACCTTTGTAGAATTTGCATAACTTAGACATGTAACTAATAATAAATGATTCTGAAGCTTTACGAAATTGTTTGATTTGTTCTCTTTATGTTTATTCAAATAGAAAAGTTATGAAATTAAATTAAGTCCGTCTTCCATAAATCATCAGCGAAGCCATGGGATGTAGATTCTTTTTTTTTTTTTTATTTTTTAAAACTGTAATGCATCTTTATTAGAATTTCGATAAATAAATTATACACTCTAATAGCAAAGATACCTAGAGCCAACTGTGTCGAGCACATGTCAACCCTATAACAGAGTAATTTTCGAACAAAGGAAAAAAAAAAATGCATTACAGAAAGAATATAAAATAAATACTATACCCGGTAATAAAAGCAAAATAAAATTTGTGAGACCTAACTAGTTACAATCTACTTTAATGTGTAGGAAAAAAGGATGAAATATGTAATAATGTTGGGTACTGCGCATATGGCAGCCCCTAAAGATGAGTCGTAATGTCCCCACACCCAACCAGATTTATTCCACCTAATCTTCCTTATCCTACAAAAATAAAAGTTAGTATACTATCCTACTGTCATAAAAGAGAAAAGCTAAATTTTTTTATTTTGTTATCGGAAAAAATTTTTTAACGTATATCATGTGACTTCGATTAAAAGTTTTTAACTCTTCACTTCTTGCTATTCTTCTTCTTCTTTTTTTTCTTTCCACCTTTCTTCTTTGATGGTGATGCTTCTGGTTCTACTACTTCTTCCTCTTCCTCTTCTTCTTCTAAATCTTCTTCAATTCCATAGATGGCCGCTGGCAAAAAGGATATGAGTTGCTCTCGTTGCCTCCGTTCTTTATGCATTGCAGTGAAAGCTTTATTTTTTTCTTCTCCATCCTCTAAGTCGCTCCATTTGCTCGGTGATTCTAGAATTGGTCTCTTTTCTCCAGTTTTCTTTTCATCCTGGTAGCGATTTTCATTCTCCAATCTTTGTTTAAAATTATCATTCAGGGTCGTATATTCTTGGAATATTTTTGATTTTTCTGCTAAACTGATAATTTTCTGTCCTAATAGGAAAAAATTGTTTTTCTCCAAGGCCCATTCTTTAGCTCTCGATAGTGAATCTATCGAGTTCTCCATGCTCACCGCATACAAGGCCTCTGTATTGATTCTTTCCCATTCCATTTCGTTGGACGTTTGATCGAAGACATCTTTAACTTCCATTAATTTGTCAACTAAACTATCATTGTGGTCTGATTCTTGATACTGAACATATTTAATTTTGTTCATTGTTCTGTAATCTTTTATGATATCAACCACTTCTTCAGGCACTACGTTATCTTTCTTCAGTTGTTTCCTCTTGTTTTCTGAAGTGTCATTATGATCTTGAGTATTCTCTTCTCCTACTCTCCAGTTTTTGATCATCTCGACAACTTCATTTTCGTCTGGCGTCTTGCTTATCCTTACTGGCTTTTCTTCTTTTGATGGATGCAGCAAGCTTTCTTTTCGTGAAGCGAAGTTCCCTAATTCTCTGTAAATTCTCTCCGGTGGTGTGATAGGTGTCTTCGGTTCACTGTCCAGCCGTGAAGGTGATCTCGTTCTATTTTCTGTAGCTATAACCTTTTCTTGAACTATCTTCTCTTGTAGTTTCTTCGCCCTTGTCTTAGCATCACCATCTTTATATATCGTCTTCTTGTTTCTCACAAGCCAAACTCTATTAATATCTCCTTGTGTGCATGAATCCTCCACTGCTTCTTCCATTTCTTTGAGGTTCTTGAAATACCCAATCACTTTCCAATTTTTTGTGATTTTGATAATTTTAATGAACGCTGTCTTGAAAGTTTGTTGCAGTTTTTTCGTGAAGTCGTATGTGTTTCCCTTCTTTATGGATTCCATTTCCTCGTTAGTTAGGTCTCTCACAGTCTGCCATTGATCCCGCTCTTGTCGTCCTTTCAAACCTAGTTTCGCGTCGTACCATCTGATAAAGTTTTTGCTAATACAAATACCGAAATGTCCCTCCAAGAACGTTTTTTCGAAGTTTTCGTTCAAAGCGATTTTTGCCTTAACGGTTTTGTATTTGTATTGTCCACGAATTTGCAGTCTATAAACCGTTCCTATCTTCATCAGATTTGTTCTTACATCATCTTCACTCCAATATTTTGGTATATCGTAGAAAAATATGTCACGTGCCTCCTTGGCCTGCTGATCATTACTAATATTTTCGGGTAAAACTGGTATCTCTACAATTTCTTCCCATTTTCTCCTGTTTGATGTCGATCTTCCTTTTTTGGATTTCTTCAGCTGATCAACTTCTTTGTTAACGCCAGTTTTAACCTTTTTTAGTTCTGATCTCGTTTTCTCTACTTCTTGCGAAATTTTCCTTATTTGCTCATTTTTCTGCGATATTATTCGTGCTTGTTGTTTCTCCTCATTTACTTTTCTGTCCATCACGTGATCCTTCTTCCGCAGTTCTTCTCGCAATTTTGAATTTTCCCATGAGAGTCTTTTTATTTCATCTATATAGACGTCGAAAGACGTTGCTGAACACTTTAAAACTATGTCTTTAATAGTTTCTTTTCTGCGTACAGCGTCGTTCCGTATTGACTCCAGGAAGTTTTGTTCAGTTTTGCTGAGACCGCCGTCTTTTGGTACTCTTTCTTGGCTTTTTGCTGTGGTCCTTGAGTCCGCACTGAAAATATTTTTTGTTTCTTTCAGAAACCTATATCTATATTCTGTAAATTTGTATGCTGACTCCATTTTTGAGGTTTTTTATTTGGGTTTTATTAATAAAAAGACTCGTAAAAGACGTTTTTCCTTCCGCTGAAAATTTGGGCAGAATGATCGTCAGAAAGAGTTCCCCCTCAGATCCAATTTACCATCCATGGGATGTAGATTCACAATATTTATATAAAATTCTAATTAGAATATGTAAATTTATGTAAAATCTATGTTCTATTTTAAAAAAACTTAAATCAATGAATTTTCGAAAAAATAAAATCATTAACTGAACGTTCATATTCATATTGTTATCCTAATTGTTGTCAACTAAAAAAATTTATGCATATGACAAAAAGTTGTTAATGAGCATTGTAGTGCCACAATTTACCATAACTGCGTCGTAGCTAATTTGATAAATTAGGTAATCATACAAATCCGCAATATGCAGTAATAAGGCGCAGACACAAATCCAATACGAAAATATTTGGAAACCCAACAACATACTTCTAAGAAACAATTAAAGATCGGAAGGCGGAACAAGCTATGGCTATCGAAAGGGATATTGTGAAGGACACCTACAGTCCTTTCCTCAAACGAAGGGTAAAGAGAAAGAAAACCCCAAGGCAGTCACACTAGAAAAATCACGTGACTTTATTGTAACTTCGCATGAGTTCGCAACAAATTGTCAATAATTTGGATAGGATCCAGCCCTAATAAAGAAATTGTTACAACTACCCAGAATGATCAGAAATTATCTGTTTATGATCCTAATTTGGATAAGGCGAATAAACTTGCAGATGTCAGTTGAAGTCAGCCCTATAAAAAAAATCGGGAAAAATTCCGATAAATGATCCTTTTTCTAGTTTTTATTCCAAAGAAACTCAGACACGTGATCATTTTCCTGAAAAATTTTTTATAGGGCAGCTTAAGCCGTTACAAACTGAGCCCAAGCTGAAAATCATCCAAAACTGTGCTTGAGCTGCTCCTTAAGTAAAAACAGTTTGTTCCCCCTGAAAAATAAAAAAAGAGCAATAAATTATTAAATTTATATGACAATTCGTCCTATAATATTATGATTTTATATGTTCGATTACAAATTGATTTTATTTATGCAAAATAGATAACTTTACATGTACTCTATAATCAGTGTTGAACAAAAACTATAAAATAAAATATTTAAATAAACAGATATAATTAATGAATAAAATAATAAAAAAAAAATTCAAATGTTGTTCTAGTATTGTGTCACATTCAGCTTCATATTTCAACAAAATTCGGAAAATAATATTTTCTAAATTTTTCTTTTTCTCTTGATTATTTATACTTATCCTCATCATCAGCTGATATCCTATAAAATAGATAATCTTAAAAAATCTTTTATATATATATAAAAAAAATAAAAAAAAAAGATGTAACATACATTGTAAAATCAACAATTTCTACTGAATTATTGTTGATATTATCATATTTTGAAAGATCTTTGGTATATGAATTGAGTAATCGAGAAGTATAGTAAGCTTGTGGATGATGAGTAGTTGATTGGATATTTTCTACAGATAAAAGATTTGTTTTTCTATATTCTTCTGCTTCGATAAATTGCTTTTCAATTTCCTCATTTTTTCTAGATCGGAATAATCTAATGAATTCACCTACTTCAATAGCACTTGGCCTATTATTTGGATTTGAATCCCAACACCTTTTCATTAAATCAATATAACATTTTGGAGCTTCATTTTCATTGATTTTAGGTCTATTTCCATTACATATATTTAATGCTAATATATTATCATGAGCATAATTTGCGAAAGGTTGTCTTTTAGTTGCTACAAAATACATAATCATACCAAAACTGTATATATCTGCTGCTTGAGTGTAGGGTTTGCCTTTTAATACTTCAGGAGCTACATAAGGCATAACTCCATAAATTTTATTTCCATCTATATTACCAACTTCTCCACATAATCCCATATCTGAAATATATACATCACTAGCCGAATTTCCTGATTTAGAATAATATCCACGAGTAAGTGATAATATATTTCCTGTATGAAAATCACGATGAACCATATTATTTTTATGAATGTTTTTAAGACCTTCAATAATATTATTCAATACCCATAATCTTTCAAACCAATACCAATCTATATTAATATAAATAAAATTATTAATAGTACCGCCATCTGCATAATTAAGAACCATAACATAATCTTTTGTATCTGGATTTTGTGATATTCCATATAAACTAATAATTCTATCATTATAACTGATAGAATACTCTTTAATCTGATAAAAATAAATAATGTACATTTTGTCAAATTTAAAAAGATAATAAGATAAAACATGGTTAAAAATGAATTCATACCTCATTTAAAAATTCATTATTAATATTTTGTGAATTATTTAAACATTTCAAAGCAACTTTCTTATTAGGTATTCTTTTTAATTCTTTATAATATTTATCATCATAATATAATGGACCATCTTTCCATATTGCTGAATATACTATAGCAAAACCACCTTTACCTATTTCTTTAATATTATTAAATTGATTATATGGTATCCATTCAACTATTATATCATTATATTTATTAATCTTTAATTGCATTTCTTGAATTAAATTATCAATTTCTTTATTTCCACTGGTCCAGTTTGTAAAATTTTGTTTTAAATTATTTATTTGACATGGTTTACACCATTTTTTCTTTATACTTGTATATATTTTACTACAGTTTTTACAATAACCATCTTGAATTACTATAATATAATCTTTTGTATCTGGATTTTGAGATATTCCATACAAATCAAGAGTTTCTTTATCATTACTATTAGAATATTTTCTAATCTAATAATAAAGAATTATATATTAATTATATATTAATTATATATTAATTAAGCATTTAATTAAATTAAAAAAAAAATAATAATAATAAATTCATACCTCATTTAAAAAATCATTGTTAATATCTTGTGAATTACATAAATATTTTAAAGCAACTTTTTCATTAGGTATTCTTATTAACTCTTCATAATTCTTATTATAATGTAATGGACCTTCCATCCATATTGCTAAATATATTATAGTTAAACTATCTTCACTTATCTTTTTAATATTATAAAATTGATTGTATGATATCCATTCAGTTATATTATTATGTTTATCAATTTTTAATTGCATTTTCTGAATTAATTCATCAATTTCCTTATTTTTACTAGTCCAGTTTACAAAATTTTGTTTTAAATTATTTATTTGACATGGTTTACACCATTTATAATTACCTGTACGTATTTCACCACAATTTTCACAACGACCATCTTGAAATATTATAATATAATCTTTTGTATCTGAATTTTGAGATATTCCATATATTTTCTGAATACCATTAAATGTATTGATGGAATATGATTTAATCTATAAAGGAATAAAATAAAATATTATATAAAAATAATTAAAAAAAAAATTAAAAAAAGTTTAAATTCATACCTCATCAATAATATTCTGTAAATTATAAAAATATTTCAATGAAACTTTTTTAAAATGTGAATGTCTTAACAACTTATTATAAAATCTATTATACTTTAATGGACCTCTTATCCATATTGCTGAATATATTGCAAAAGTATCATTTTTATTTATTTCTTTAATATCATTAAATTGATTGTATGGTATCCATTCAAATATTATATCATCATATTCTTTAATTTTTAATTGTATTTCTTGAATAAAATCATCAATTTTTTCATTACCACTGGTCCAATTTATAAAACTTTTTCTTAAATTATTCAATTGACACTGTTTACACCATTTATAACTTTTATGTGTATAAATTTTATTACAATTTTCACAATAATTATTATTAAGAACTATAATGTAATCTTTTGTACCTGGATTTTGAGATATCCCAAATATGTTAGGAGATCGACCTTTTTCAATAAAGAATTCTTTAACAACCTACTTAAATAAAGAAAAAATTACTATATTGAAAAAAAATAAATAATTTTAAGAAAAAAAACTTTTACCTCATTTAAAAAATTATCTGTAATATTTCGTGAATTATGTAAATATCTTAAAGTAATTTTTTTATCAGATATTCTTTTCAATATTCCATAATGTTTATCAATTTGTAATGGACCATCTTTCCATATTGCTGAATATATTGTGGTATAACCAATATTACCCATTTCTTTAATATTATTAAGCTGGTTATATGGTATCCATTCAACTATTATATCATCCCATTTATTTATTTTAAGTTGCATTTCTTGGATGAAATTACCAATTTTTTCATTTGTACTAGTTCCATATGAAAAATATTTTTTGAAATTATTTAATTGACACGTTTTACACCATTTTTTCTTTATATTTGTATATATTTCTCCACATTTTTCACAATATCCATTATTAAGAACTATAATATAATCTTTTGTATTTGGATTTTGAGATATTCCATATATATTAAGAATATTTTCATCTCGTTTTTGAGTCATTCCATGTATTATACCAGGAATATTATCGTCTTTAGCAATTTCAATAGAATATGATTTAATCTTTAAAATATAAAAAAAAATTATTAAATAAAGCATACTTAAATTAAATTACAAAGTAATTAGACAATTCATACCTCACTTAAAAATTCATTATTAATAAGACCTTGTGAATTACATAAACATTTTAAAGCAACCCCTTTATCAGGAATTCTTTTCAACTCTCCATTACGTTCATCATTATTATGTTGTAATGGACCATCTTTCCATATTGCTGAATAAAGTACAGTAAAATCATTTCTGCTTATTTCTTTAATATCATTAAACTGGTTATATGGTATCCATTCAACTATTATATCATTCCATTTATTAATTTTAAGTTGCATTTCTTGAATAAGTTCGTCAATTTTTTCATTTCCACTAGTCCAGCTTGTAAAATTTATTTTTAAATTATTTAATAAACATGATTTGCACCATTTATAATATATTTTTGTATATATCACACTACAATTTTCACAATAACCATTATTAAGAACTACAATATAATCTTTTGTATCTGGATTTTGAGATATCCCATATATATTAAGAATATTATTATAGTAATTATTTATTTCAATAGAATATGATTTAATCTGTTAAAATATAATATAGAAAAGGTAAGGTTATTATAAAAAAAAGTACTTGAAATTTAATTATAAAAAAAATAAGAAATTTCATACCTCGAATAAAAAATCATTGATATTTTGTGAATTAGAATTATAAAAATATTTTATGGCAATTTCTTTGCCATGTTCTCTTTTCAACTCTCCATAATTCTTATTATATTGTAATGGGCCATCTTTCCATATCGCTAAATATACTGCAGTAAAATCATTTTTACTTATTTCTTTGATATCATGAAGTTGGTTGTATGGTATCCATTCAATTATTATATCATTATGATATTTGATTTTTAATTGCATTTTTTGAATAAATTCATCGATTTTTTCATTTTCACTAGTCCAATTATCAAAATGATTTTTTAAATTATTTAATTGACATGGTTTACACCATTTATTATCTTCATCTGTATATATTTCACCACAGTTTAAACAATAACCATCATTAAAAACTAAAATATAATCTTTTGTATCTGGATTTTGAGATATTCCATATATTTTAAGATAATCATATTTTTGTTTCCTTTCAATAGAATATAATTTAGCCTATATTATAATAAATATAAAAAATAAAATTTATTATAAGAAAAAGTATTTAAATAAAAATTATAAAGAAATTAAAAAAATTTCATACCTCATATAATAAATCATTAATGATATTTTGAAAATTATATAAACATTTTAAAATAACTTGTTTATTAGATACTCTCCTCAACTCTTCATAATGTTCATCATGTTGTAATGGACCATCTTTCCATATTGCCGAATATACTGCAGAAAAATTACTTTTATTTATTTCTTTGATATTATTAAATTGACTATATGGTATCCATTCAATTATTATATCATCATATCTTTCAAATGTTAATTGAGTTTCTTGAATGAAATAATTAATTTTTTCATTTTCACTATTACAATTTGAAAAATTTGAAACATTATTTTTAAAACTATTTACTTTATTTATTTGACATGGTTTACACCATTTATGTTTTATATTCGTATATATTTCATCACAGTTTTTACACTTAATATCATTTTGGAATGACACCATGACGAATTTTTTTTTTTTTTTTTTTAAAATAAGGGTTCCTCCCTCTTACAATATTCACAAGCTATATTATAAAACAAAAAATTTAATTGAAATAAAATTTTTTTTTTTTTTTTTTTTAAGAAAAAAAAAAATATTTCATGATCGACGTAAATGGAGGCTTTAAAAAAAAAATTATTATTACACCAAATTTTCATGTAACGAAGCAAATTTATTTACGTTACGTGACATGCTCAAAATTATGTGATACAAAGAAATTCGGTTTTCTAGTTTAACCGTAAGTTGCAAAATTCTATGATTGGCTAAATAAAAATTACGTCATGATTTATTATGATTATTTGATTTTGATCAACTGACTGGACTAAAAAAAGAAAAGATCGTGAATTTTGCAACCATAGATAGATGACGTAACTATGAACAAAAATAAGAAATTTTTTAAAATGTTGAACAACGTGAAACAAGAGTTGTTAATTGAGTATTTAACTTTCAACTTTATATTTTTGACGAAAATTTTATGATATTCTTTTAATATATACAGGGTCATATCTATTATTCAATTTTTATAATGCTACCATTAGAATTTTTAACTAACATACAAATTCCATGAGATGGTTAATGTCACGTTTTGAGGTATTTATTGCAGAAACTTTGGTCATGTCAATGGTGATACTTTTACCATTTTTGTACATTTCGTTTTATGAAATTATGTAAAAATTTGATGCTTTCGAAGTATTAATATATGAAGGTAGTATCATTATTCAATCAAAATGTGTATAAAATTTTTTCTAATATTTATTATGTAGAATTTTTTATTTTATTTTAATTTTTTTTATTTTTTTTTTTTTTTGATCAACGCAAACTTCATAATTTTGAAATTTCGGAAAAATGTAATATAATTGAATAATGGCTTTATATTGAAAGTGATTTTCAATTGAGAATAAAAGTTTGTATATTAAAAATGTACGAAAAGAAAATTATTTAAAAGAATTAAATTTGTTGTAAAATGTAATCTTCGCAATACTTCTTAAAAATGAATAAAATTTATTAAAGTCAAAAAAAGGTAAAAATTATTTTTATAATTTCGTTACGGCTATTTTTATATGTAACGGGACACTGCCGACCCGCGTTCTACAAAATAAATCACATGACACGACTTTTTGTATATCCGACTGCCAGTTCAGCCAAAATCGAATGGCTAATTTAGGCAGGATTAAAGCCTAAAGCTGGCCAATTTTAGAATTATCATAACGCACTCGGTAACGACTTTCGCAAAGAATCATATTATGTTCATTAAATACGATATTGTTATTATTTAATCTATTGGAATAATGATTATGTAAAATAATATAAATTATGATATTTATCTCTGATTAAATCCTAATTCATATATGTCTGTAACCACATAATTTAATGATTCCAGATCTTGAGTAATTCGAGTTGAATATACAAATTTTGAATAATTTTCCATTAATTAACTAATAAATTAAATCGAATAACTTGTACAATAGATAATAAATAAATTATTTGCTACATAAATTACATAAACTGTTTACCTTATTTAAAAAAATTCCTATTAATTCTGAATGATTCTCTAAGCTTTTTAATTCAACATACCGAACTTTTTTTTTTCATTTTCATTAAGAGGTGACCGTAATTTTCATCCTTGGGTTTATAAAAGAATTTCTCTCGCTGATATGTTTTAACATTTCATTCTATAAATTCACTTCACTAGTTGGCATTCTCTACCATAGATTTGACGCAGCATAACTACACATTACACAATTCAAACCAACTTTTTTAATTATATAAATAGCTATTGTACTAAATATTTTATATTTTATTTATTAATAAATCATTTTTTCAATTTTCCTTCTCCCGGCTCATTTGTGGCCTATTTGCTAAGCCAAAATATTTCAGGCTTTAATCCAAGAATCGTTCCTACTTCCAATACTAGGATGAAGCAATCCAAACCCGCAGCGGTTCATTAAAGAATATATGGAAAACCACTAGTCAGAAGATAATGAAAATCCCCTGTAATGGTATTAACTGAATTATTTTTTTGGTATTTCTTTTAGAAAAAAAGAAAATCATCAAACGTATATATGACCCCGACAGCCAATCAAATTATTGTAACATATCACCAAATTTTTTAATTATACGGATATATCATTAACAAAATTATTTTTTTTTTAATTTCTTTTAGTATAATTTCCAAAACAAGCTTTCATTATATAATTTGTTAAATTTGCTAATTACATTTAGCCATATTCTCTTTTGAATATTCGATCACACAAGCTTACCATTTTAGAAGTGTCTTAAATTAGTTAATTTTTTTTAAAAAAAATCTCGTAGAAATACTTGAAGTTAAATCATTTCCAGGTAAATCTTTGTTTATTTTAATTTGTTAACACTTAACAAATCTTAATTTAAACAAATCCTATTCTGGAATATTCTGGGCGGTTTTATTAACTTCAAATAAAAAATTCAATAAAAATCTGCGTTATATTTGTACCCAGGGCGTCAACCCTCCAAAGTTACATTGCTCTTTACCCTTATGTTTCTTTAATCTCAATGATTATTTTTTCCAGTTTGTTGACTAGAAATTGATATTTATGCATGAGTTTTTTTACGTCTAATAATGGATTGGTGATTAGATTATTTATATACTGCTTGTTTATCAAGAATATTTTCCCAGAAAATATTATTTCGTAAAAGTTTAGCTTTTTAAATTTCGCCATAATAATATAATACTAACTATAATTAGTTAACCATCTTACCTATTATGGAGAATTTAAATAAAAACTGTAATTTGCCAAAATTGAATAAATTTAATTGCCGATCAGATTTTTGGGTTTCATTTGTGCATTTTAAATAGTCTTTTTTTCCATAATTTTGTTGCCGATCTTGAAATCGTTGCAACATAAATAACGTTTCAGTCGTTTCACCATTACTTTTTTCATTTTTTTTCATTTTCTTTTAAATGAGAATTAAAAACATTTTTTGTTAATAAATTATTTATTAAAATGGATCAAATTAAACTAAGTGATGATGTATTTGAACAAATAAAAGACTTTGATAAGTATCGGAAATTGACTGAAAAACAAAAATCGTTAATTGATAAACTAATAACAGACAAAGAATTAAAAGAACGTTATAAAAAAAATGGTTTATGTAGAAATTGTAATCGGCTTAGGATAAATAGGTATTATTGCAATTATTGTGTGTTTCAACCAAATTTCAAAAATTGGACAAGTGAAAATCATGTCGTTGATGAATTTATTCAAAAAGCACAATTAAAAGCTAAAGATGAGGACAATATCATAGAGTGGATTGAATATGATAAATTTGAAAATGTTGAATATTTAGCAAAAGGGGGATTTGGAACTACTTTTAAAGCAGTTTGGAAAGATGGATGTATTGAAGATTGGGATTATGAAAATGATCAATGGAAACGAGATAGTAAAACAAAAGTCGCTTTAAAGTGCTTACATAATTCACAAGATATTACAGCAGATTTTTTAAAAGAAGTAAGATCTTTTTTACTGATTTTAGTATTATTAGCCTTTATAAATGTTAAACTAACTATAATTTTCTTTTAAGGTTGAATCAAATATTTTAGTACATAGTTCTGGTTATACAGTTCGTTGTTTTGGGATTACCAAAGATCCAAAAACAAACGATTTTATGATGGTGATGGAATTAAAAGATTATAGTTTAAGACAACGTTTAAATAACAGCTTCATTTTGATGAGTTGGGAGAATATGTTGTTTACTTTACATAGTATTGCAACCGGTCTTAAAGATATTCATAATAAAGGATTAATTCATCAAGATTTTCATTGTGGGAATATATTAAGCAATAATATCCATCAGGCTTTCATTACTGATTTGGGATTATGTCAACCAGCAAATGTCAAATCCTCTCAAAATAGTAATAAAAAAATATATGGAGTATTACCTTATGTAGCTCCTGAAGTTTTAAGAGGAAAAGAATATACTCAAGCAAGTGATATTTATGGATATGGAATTATTGCATATGAAATTTGTACAGGGTTCCCTCCTTATCATGATATAGCTCATGATGAATTCTTAGCAATGAAAATTTGTAATGGATTGAGACCAAAGTCAAATTATAAAATTCCTCAATTAATTCTTGACATTATTAATCAATGTTGGGATGCAGACCCTTTAAAACGACCTAATGCAAATGAATTATTTAATATAATTCGTGATTTATGGAAAGCTATGCAAAATAATAAAGCGGAGTCTGTAATTTATGGACAAGCTAAAGAAACAGATGAAATTAATAAAAAGTTATCTTTTTCATCACCTTTAATATCTAGTGATACTAGTATATCATATGTGACACATCCTCAAGCAGTTTATACAAGTAAACTTTTAGATTTTAAAAATCTTCCAGAACCAAAAAATGCTGATGATAATGATGATTTACATGGGATAGAATATTCAGGTATATATATAACATGCTATAATAATATAAATTTATTTTAAAATGCTAACAATTAATATTTATAGATTCCTTAAAAATGGATTTTACTAAACTTGATATTAATTCAAAAGGTGATTGATTACTCTTGCATGTGATTTTTTTGATCTATTAAATTTTAATTAAACTATTTTTATTATAGATGAAACTAATTAAGCTCATACTACTTAAAATTAAGTATAATAATATCATATTATGTTTGTGTAATTATTTATTTTATTTGTATTTTGATTAAAAGAATTATTTATGATTTACTAAATTTAACAAATCTATATAACTTTTCTAATTTAACGGTCTTCTTAGATTGGAGTATTTCACAAAAGTCCATTATTTGAAACCCAGGTCAGATTCCAACTAGAATTCCTTATTAACTATGATTTAATTATGGTAACCTTTAAGAAAAATTATTTGTTAAAAAAAGATCACATTTGTTTAGTATTAAAAAATCTTGTTAAGAAACGTCTCAAATTTATTTAAAATAAATATTTATTTATTAAAAAAGTTCATACACAGTGAAATTCGATAAACCGAATCTATCGGTTCCACTAAAAATATCCGGTTTATCAGGATATCCGGTATAGCGAACAAATCTCGATATATTGAAAATCTATTATACTGAATTTTTTTAAAAAAATTCATGCTAATAAAACTAATGTACACTATATTTTAAATTTTCAACCTAGTTTTAAGTCACAGAGGCCATGAAAATGAATATAAAATGTTTTTAAGTAATATATAACTTCGGCCGGAATTAAGATTTTTATAATTCCGGCCAAAATTAAGATTTACCGCATCACGTTACTTAAATTTTATTGGTTAATTATCACGTGATCCGGTTTGTCGAATCATTTTTACTATAGCTGGTTAGAAAATTGATCCGTTATAGCGAATATAGAGCCTTTACTAGTAAACTCCGGTATATCGAAACTATTTTAATATACGTGATTTGGTTCTAGCAAAAAAGTCCGGTTTAGGCCCAAATCCGGTTTATCGAAGATCCGGTTTATCGAATTTCACTGTGTACTTATTAAAACAAAATTTTTTTTATATACTGTATTTAATATTTGTTAAAAAAAGATTTATTGTTAAATTAAGTTTACTCATATTGTTACTACTTACTATTTATTAAAAAAAATCATCAATGAATTTATTATATTATGAGATTTTACCCGCACAAATATTTTGTGATATTTCTCTCTACAGGCTTGGCTCCTAACGAGTTAAAATTTTCAAAATTTAAAAGGTCATTATAATCATTTAAAGTTCAAAACATTGATTCAGTTCATAATAAAATTTACCCATAATTATAGCTAGTAAAAGAATAATATGAAAGTTATTTTCAAAGATTCAATTCACAGCACAAAGATAAGATTTAAATTTTCTATTCAATTTTATTTGTAAAAAGGAAAAAATTTAACGGAACATATTAAAAATTGATATAAACTCTTCCAAATGTAAAATGTTTTACATAATATACTGTACATAACATTAATCCGCAGAAATTTATTAAAATTTTTTTTTGTTCTCACGTTTCAATTTAAAATTTAGGTAAAGAAAACAAAAAAATAAATAATTTTAGGTCATACACAAAATAGTTAGATCTTAAATTAAATTTTTAGATAGGATAAACTTAGTTATAGGAGATTGAAAACTTGTTTTTCTATACTCTGTGTTTTTTAATAATTGTAAATCCTTATGGTTCATTAAATTCAATAAAAAACGCGGTACTTATTTAAAAAAAAAAAAAAAAATTTTTTTTTGTAAAAACCTAAGGCGTTCATCGGATGAATTGTTGTAAACATCAAAAAGTTGAATTATGCTACATATATAATATCAATAATATGCCAATTAAATGTGGCTTATTTACTGATTTTCAAGCTTACTCGACTATAGTTCAATACATTGAATTATATCAAGTACTTTGCCACAATATTCGTTGGAAAAAAAATGTGATAATTATATTTTTTAATTTTTATAAACACTTTGAATTTTCACATTAGTAAAAACAAATTGAATAAATTGAAAGTATAACTCTTAACAATATCTTAAATAAACTTTTTAAATTAATAAAAAAAATGAATATCAAAGCTTTTTTCGCTATTTTCGTGATCATTATTCGTCATATAATAGTAAACTTACTTTATCACCCAGTAACTTAACTTACATTTATTAAAACTATAATTTTTTAAGCTATACCCTGTTCTTCTAAACATCTTCGTCTGTTTCCGTCTGGAAAGTGCGTTCATCTGATTAAGTATAATTTAAAAATTTATAAAACTATTGTAGTCATGGCAAAATTTATATAGTACGGAAATATCAGATAATATAATATTTTTTCTTCTAAATAGATGGAATAAGTCATTAAATAAATTCAAACTTTTTTTAAAAAATTAGCCGGCATTGTACAAAGAACAATTACCAACTTTTAGTATAAATAATTGGTAGTATAATTAGTTTTAATTTACTTTAAAAATTTGTAAAAAGTGATAAAATTCATATGATGCGGAAAAGTTAGATAATATAGATAATATATATCTCGCCGTAATTTTTTACTTCTATAGATGGAATTAAATCATTAAATAAATTCAATGTTTTAAAAAAAATTAGCCAGCGCTGTAAATAAAACGATTTCAAAAGTTTTTCAGAGGATGGAATGAGTGGTAATTGGTAAAGATCCAAATACGTGTTGAATTTGGTATAAGAAAAGGACTACTATATGTTACAATAAATTTCTCAAAATTAATTTTCTAACCCTCTAGTTTGGGATGTTTAAAGCTACGTCACTTACATTTCATTTTTTTTTGTAGCTGTATTATTTTATACTATTTAAGATCAAATTCATAAATTGTAATTTAAGCAGTAGATTCATTGACCAAATCGTGTAAATTATGGTCAAATCATGTAAATGATGCATTTTTGTGATATGGAATTGTGTATTTTCCTGTATCCCTATATAGATTAGATACATTATTTTTAAAAAAAAAATTGTATAAACCCTTATAAAAAACATGTCCAATTTTTTATAGGGTCTAATTATAATAAAATTTATATTTAAAGCTCCCTGCTATGTTTAACGTTTACTTAGATGTTTTAATGAGTTTTCCTTTGAATGTATAAAGAAGAATTATAGTTATAAAAATTCAAAGATTATATCATTGCAAAATAGATGTAATTAATTTAATGATACGTATTTATACAAGTCAGTTGAAATAATTTTAATTGCAGAAATATAGAATTTGCATTTATTTCATTTATTTAGAATATAAATCTTTAATAGTATATTGTATTTTGTGCATTTACAGCATAGTTTCAGCAATATAAAGTAATTGTATACTCTTTATACATTCTTTTCGCTTCTTTTAATCTATTTGCGTTCGTTGTTTAATTCTTTGTTACTGTTCAGATCTTACGTTATTTGAAATTTCAGCCACTTCCGGTAAAATTTTTTCTGCCAAAAGTAATGCTTCTTTTCTCCATTCAGGTTTATCATCCTTAAGTTTGCCCATTATTGGTTCTACAATATTTTTCAATAATATATCAAACCATTTCTTAGCTTCTTCAACCAACTTTAGTTCTAAACTGAGATATATAATATTAAGGATGATGTGACGAATATCTTTTGGCCGAACTGCCTTATATAAATCATATGTTTCTTTCAAAATGGAAAGAGCCTTTTCTTTGTTTCCATTTTTACGGTAAGTATGTGCCAGAGTTTTACTAAGTACTATTGTATTGAATCCTAGATCTGGATGTTCCTTTCGAAGGTTACGTAATTCAGCAATTGTATCTTCCAATTGTTTAATAAGAGAAGGATAAACCTTACGTGATTTTAATTTTGGTTCGATTGATTCATTATAAGTTGTCAATAGCTTAGCCATTCTAAGTTTAATTTCTTGTGATTCAGATCTTTCCAACTTACACATTCTACATTGACAATCTATGCTTACAGCTTTTAAATACCTTGATCGTTCCTTATAGCTAAAGGAAGCATCTCTATAATTAACAATTAGCTCTTCACCTTTTGAAATAGGCCGATTAGTTCGAAAGAACATCAAATCACCAAGAAAAAAATGGTTTACATTTTCATCAATACATGCATGATTAAAAAAAGAAGGTAAGATCCACAGCCCAGCACCAGTTAATTCAGTTTCAAGATTAAACTCTTCATAACCTAAACCAAAGCTATTGTATTTGATAGCGTGTAAAATTATTACAATATTCACTAATCTCTTATTAATTTTTTCAATTTTTTCATTTATGCTAATATTTAGACCAGTATAAAGTTGATACACTTCACGACAATAATGAGGTTCTGCAAAAAGTTTATGAGCAATACATATTGCTAATTCTTCAGAACATGAATATGCACCAGTTGGTATTTCATCATTTGATTCATCACTTATCATAGTTCCATGAGCTTCGTTACTAAAAACCAATTTTAATGGTTTAGAGACCATCAGCAAAGTAAGTTCAGGAATGTCACATTTAGCAATCCAACCTCTTCCTTTTCCTTCTATAAGGTCAATCTTAATATTTTCATTTAAAAAATCGGCATGATCTAATCTTGGGCCATCTTCGTAAATCCAAACATCATTACCCTTACTATCCTTTTTAACTTTAGCTCTCTCATAGAATTCATCAATAATACGTAAATAGTCATATTTCCCATTTTTGTTTTCATAGAATAACATTTCCGCATGTTCCGTAATTTGTTTAATTAAAGTATTATTACCTTTAATTCTTTTATTTAAAATTTGAAGTGTATTAGAGGCTTCTTTATAATATTTGAGACCACAAAGAGCTTTACCCTTACGATAGGCTGCTTTTATATTATTGGGATCAAGCGTAAGAGCAAACTTTGCATCCTCAAGAGCATTATAAAATTGACCCAATCGAAGGTAAGCTTCTGCTCGGTTAGAAAGTAAAGTAACATTTCGTGACTCCAATTCGATGCCTTCTGTATATTCATCAATAGCTGAAATATAATGATTTGAAGCAAAATAATCATTTCCACGACGACGGAAATCATCGACATTCTTTATTTCAATATCCTTTTCATTTGTGGACGTGGACCATTTTATATCATTAAACAACGTGTTATTATGATCTACGATGATAACATCATCAGGATTATCAGAACGAATTATGGGTATATTACCAGTAGCAAATTTATAAGATATATTCTTGATAACAAGTAAAGTGCCAATTGGTAAAAATGATTCATCGATAGATTTAGTATTTGATTGACCTTCTTCGGGAATCTTTGTCCAATTATATAAAGCAAGTCTTTCAACATTACCCTCAGGATCTTCTACAAGAGCTAAAAGGGCATCTATTTTTATAAATCTAGAAATCACTCGACATAACAAGAATCTTCTATTGGGTACATTTATATTAACTCGTAAATTTGATATTGATATCCGAAGTTGAATATTTAGAGTTAAATTCTTTTGTTTTTTGATATTATGAACAACATATTTATTCTTATCACATAAATTATCTAGATTTTTATGCTCTCTAATAAATTGATCTTTGCTTTTTCTTTGAGAAAAATTATCAACTTTCAGACGTAAAATAGCACTTTGCAAAGTTTCTAATTCTCCTATTGCTCTGTGAACAGTTTGACGTTCCATGTTTGTCGTGCTAGTTTTTTATTGTATGTATTTTTGATAAACTCAATAATCAAGATCGTGTTTAAGGCTGTTATAATGAACGAATTATTACGTCATTATTAGCTAAACAATAACTAATTGTTGTTAAACAATGTACGAACCAGGGATGGAAGCTGATCCAAAAAAAAAAAAATCATGCATGATAACGCACGATTTTATTTACCAAATTAGACTAACAGGATGACTGAAATTTTTTTTTTTTACCCTTAAACCAATCACTAAAAAATATTACTAATCATTAAAAATTTTATATAATTAGTCATGGGAATTGCTAACCGTCGCCTGGGTGATTGTCGCCTGGGCGAATCGGCTGATGGCTGATTTTTTTAACTTTTGATCGGTTAAACTTAAAATTTTATTGCGAAGATATTTTTTAAAAAAATTTTGCAAACACATTTATTCAAATAATCTTATTTAATGAAATTTTATTTTTATTTGCAAATATTAAAATTTAAGTCACACATTTACGATTTTAAAGAAAAAAATCGGTGTCTTTATTTTTAATGAAGCAATACAAATAAAAAAAACAATAACAATAAATAAAAAAGATAAGTAAATTACAATGATCAAGGAGAAAGATGCTAATAAAAAAACGAAACAACAATGGAGTAATGGAAGAAAGTAATAGAAGATGAAAAAGAGTAATGAGAAGTGATAGGAAACAAAAAGGAGAAATAGGACATGATGAGAGATGAAAAGGAGTGATGGGAGGTAAAAGGAGTGATAGAAGAAGAAAAGAAGTGATGGGAAAATGAAGAGGAGTGATGGAAGATGAACAGAAGTGATGGGAGACGATAAGGAGTGATGAGAGTCAAAAAGAAGTGATGGGAGACGAAGAAGAGTGATTAAAGGTAAAAAAGGGGTGATGGGAGACGAAAAGAAGTGATAGGAAGATGAAGAGGAGTGATGGGAGACGAAAAGAAGTGATGGAAGACGAAAAGGAGCGATGGGAGACGAACAAGTGATGGAAAGATGAAGAGGAGTTGATGGAAGACGAAAAGGATGGAATAATGAGAAGTAATACAAAAAATAAAAAAATGATCATGATAGGAGGTTGGGTAATGATAGGAAACCAAGTAAAAAATAAAACCATAAAGTAAAAAAAATTGAAGTTAGTAAGGAACGAAATATAAGATAGAAACGAAATAAAAAAATAAATAAATAAAAAATAAAAAAAACATACCTTTATTAATTGTAGAACCGAAAGAACTAAAATATCTAAAAACAAAAATGAAATAAAATTATTGAAAACCGAAATATGAAACAGAAACAAAATAAAAAAAAATAAAAAAATAAAGAAACGAACGTAAAGTGAAAAACAACTGAACCTTAATTGCAGAACCGGAAGGACTAAAGGACCTAAAAATAATGAAATAGAGTAGTAAGAAACAAAGTGTAAGCAGAATGTAAGTTAGAAATAAAAATAAAAGAAAAGAAAAATACCTTGAGACCGAAAAACCGAGGAAACGAACCTATAATAAAAACGAGATTCGATAAACAAATAAAAATATTAAATCTGTCACGTGATTGAGGTCCCAGGCGATAATCGCCCAGGCATAATTGTATTTAAGGTATTTGAACAATTAGAACCGTTTGATAATATTAATGGTTGATATAAAGAAAAACTATTACGACTTAATATAATTTTTTTAAGATTTTGATGATTTTGATGTATATTAATCATTTGTGTTATACGATTTTTAATTTATATCTTCTTCACTTTTAAATTTCTAATTTTATGAATGAAAATTTGATATTGTAAAATTATTTCAAGAATATAATCAACATAATAAGTGATAGAGATCTCAATTTCAAGGGTATGTAAATTTACTTTATTTTCAATAAATATTTTATCATTTAAATAATGCAAGTAAATATCAATGACATTATAATTAATTGAAAATGGATTTCCCATAATATTGGAATCGTTAAGCAACACCATAATCTGTTAACTAAAACACATGAATATAAGGTTGAATAATCATTTTGAAAATATTTTATGATGTTTTATGTTAATTCAGTAAAATTGAATATGACATATTGTGAGCGAAGAGATATTCGTTAGTCACATTTTATCATTGTGGCTGATTTATATTACGGTGATCTTGATATTGCCGCGCAGCCACACAATTTACATGACAACTAATTGTGTGTAACATGTTTAAGTAATAGGGCCGTATCAAAAACAAGTATATGGGAAAATACGTAAGAAGTAAAATTCATGTAAATTATTTTGACGAGAATGAAAAACAAGACAAAAATAGTATTAATAACATGGAATGACGCGCAAGGTTCCACAATTTTCGGAGAAGACAAAAAACGATCGCAAAGTAAAAAGTATAGAAGAATAGGAATACATCTAATTATTAACGAAGAAGAATTAGATATAAATAATTCGCCTAGTTTAAAACAATGCGAAGGATGCACAAAAAATATCAGCAAGAAAAAAGAAACAAAAGAATGTTTGATTTATTTGGAAGGCGAATTTAGCAAAACAATAGAGAAAAGAAACGAAGAAGGAGTGTTAAAGCCGTACGAAACGCTAAATAATATAATAAAGAAAAATGAATGGATAAGAAAATATAACGAAGAAGAAAAAAATAATGAAAAATATAATGAAAAGATTGGGATAATTGATAGTCTAATACAATCAGATGATGACTTTATTACGATTTTAAAAAATAGTATTTTCGAAAAAGATAGCATAGATAGAAGAAAGAAAAAATTTTACTTAACGAAAAGACAAAAAGTGCGGTAAATAAAGAACTTATAATTACAATGTAATTTGGATAATTAACGAGATAGAAAATTATTTTCTCGCAAATGAGGTAATGTTATTGGCGCAATACGAAAGTACTAACGAAATGAATTTAAAATTTTGATTAGAAGTGTTATTATTGGACTATTAATTATTTGTGAAAAAAGTGAGGTAATTTTGGGAATAAATGAATATGTAAACAATTTATTATATGAATTCACGAAAAATTTAAAGTAACAGGAAAAAGATCGATAGCGAATTTTATATAGAGTTATTATTCATAGAAAAATTTATTGAAGAATAGTAATATAGATATAATAGATTATAATAGATTATAATGATCAAGGATATAAAAAAGTGATTGAAATTAAGAAAAAAGCGAGAGGAATGTTAAAGGATAAAAATATTGTTATGACGATAGTTCACAAAATTGAAATAATAGAAGAAGCTCTTTTGGTTAATGAGTACAATTTAATTTGGAATAAAAAAATAGTTATGGGAGGATTTAGAAAATGGAGCAAGAAAGTTACAGATGCAATATGGAAAAACGAAATTCTCAATAGCGAAAAATTAGACGATCTGTTTATGTACAATTTTAGAAAAGAATTTGACTGGCAAACAACTTTGGAATTTGTCAGCAATCGTATAAATTTTACACAAAGACAATGTAGTCAAAAAGACACGAGAGACAGATCATATCGCATAAAAAATTTATTAAAGGAATTACCGACCTATGATACTCTACTTAAAAGAAACACGAATAAAATAGAAAATGATATATGCAAAAGATATATGAATGACAAGGTAGAAGATTGGGAACATATTTGGATATGCGAAGTAAATAAATCTACAATAGACGAAATAGCACAAGAATCAATATATAATTTCGAAAAGCAATTAGAAGACAAAAATCTTCAAGACGAGATAAAAATTTTAAGAAATTATAATTTTGATTTTATGAGAATTCTGGAACAGACTTCAATTGTGCTAAGAGGAAAAAGCCGAATATGGGAAATTCTAAGAGGAGTATATAATAATAACTTTTCTTCTCTTTTGTTCGATAATTTATTAAAGTTCGTAATCAAAAATTTATGGAATTTCGTTTACGAAGAATTTAGACAAAGAATTTGGATACCTAGATGTGATGAAATCAAGGAATTGAACGTAAAGAAGGTATACAAAAAATGGATTTATGAAAAAGAAAAGACAGAGATGAATTAGAATTAGATAGGGAAAAAGAAAAAATACAAAAAATGGAAAAAACAAAAGAAAAAATTAGAAAAAATAGAAAAAAAATAAATTTAATCAAAATATTAAAAAGGTGACGCTAAATAGACTAATAGGAACAATAACGAAAGGATCTAGTATTAGTAATAGATGGGACCTAACGATCAAAATGAAATAATTATTAGATTTAGTTACATAATTATAATAGTTTAGTTTTTCTTTTAACTTGTTTGAATTTTGTTCGATTACTTAGTTATAGGGATTAGAGAATTTTATTTTTCTAAGCTCTAGGTGTTTTACAAATTAATTATGTGCCGTATCATATGAAATTATCACGCCACATCGGTACATAACTTGTATAACTATGAATGTGAAGTAGACAAAAAAAATAAACATTTTTTTGAATTTTTTTAAGTGATTGACGATCATTTATTTAATCGACAGATATCAAATTAGAAACAAAGGATTAAGTTCTATCCATAAACAAATGGAGTATTTGTAATTATATATTATATTCTTATAAATATCTATAAATAAACGCGTATACCTATTAAAAAAAATAAATAAATAAACAAATGGGGTATGAAGAAAAGGGGTGGGAGAAAATTGTTATTGACCGCGAACGAAATAATAATACAATCCTTTTTATACAAATTAAATTGTGGCCTTCACATAATGTTATACAAATATAATAATATCGACGTAATTGTGTACGTGTGTAATTTGAATTTTCTTAATTGACAATTATCAATTTGTCAGGTTTTCCCATGGAGAAAAAAAAATAATTCCCATTTACAAAAAAAAAAAAAAAATATAATTTCCGGTATTAATTTGATTATCGGTATTAATGTACCCGTCGGTAAAATGAGTTGAATGCGACCCTAGACTCAACATTTGATAGTCGAAAGATAATAAATAATAGATATATAAATCAAGAAATTTGCAGACAAAAGTTATATACATTAATTAAAGGTAGTCTACCTTTTAGCTGCGCAAAACATAAATTAATGAAATATAATTTCTGTAGATAGCTGGAATCTAATTTAATAAGTAAAAAAAAGTTTTAATTCCGATATTTTAAATTAGCATTATTTTTCTTGCTTTATGTTTATTGCTTGATATTTCCTGTATTTTCCATTAAATTTTACAATTTTATATTCATTTCAATGATTTAAATCGACACATGACCTACCGAAGAGCATGGAGAAAGTTTACGATATTTTCCGTCAAGGTTGCTTTAATAGCTGCTTTCATTAGTTCGAGGATATTAACTGAATAAATTTGGGTTGCTCGATTATAAACATTAGAATTTTGAAGTCGGGATAAAATTATCGCTTTTGATGTGAAGTTATAATCCAAACGAATCAAAAGAATTTTTAATAAACATGAATGCAGACTAATTTTTCATCGTCAAATATTCGAGACATAATAATTAAATAGCTTGTTAAAAAAGGCTGTTTTCTATTTCACTTGCTACCTTCAGTACCTTGATATTGACTTGGCATGATTTACATTTAAGTCAACTATCTTGTGAAAATAATCAAACATGATTTTATTAAGTAAGATACATACATCAAATCTTAAAATAATTGTACAATGAATAAAAATAAATATAAAAATTTAAATAAAAATTATTAAGTTTCGTTAACCTTCAACTTTAGAAACAACTAATCCAAGATATGGACTAGGCTTACTATTTAAAAGACTTTTTTCTTTAAAGTTAAATCCTTCAATTGGTTGAAAAACAAAATTCCTAATTAACGTACTTAACAATATCTTAAATTCAGCTAAAGCTAATTTATTGCCTATACAAGACCTTGCACCAGTGATGAAAGGTAAATAATTATAATTTGTCACATTTTTAGTATATAAAGGATTTAACCACCTTTTTGGATCAAAATCATTTGCTGTTGGGCCCCAGATTTCAGTTGATTTATGAAGTACTGAAATGGCTACCATTATTATAGTATTCTATTTTTAAATAACAATAAATAATGAATAAATTTGAGAAATAGAAAAAACTTTAGCAAAAAATATATATACAAATATATTTACCTTTGGAATTAAATATCCTCCAATAACTTTATCTTTAACATTAGCTCGACTAATCATCGGTACTAAAATAAAAATTATTTTGTGTTAATAAGATGATTTATAAATGTATTAATTTGTAAAAAAAAAAAAAAATAATAATTATACCAGGAGGATGTGTTCTTAAAGTTTCTTTAACTATACAATTCAAATATTCCAAAGAATTAATTTCATCAAATGAGGGATTGAATTTTGATTTATCAGGAAAAGCTTTAACTAGTTCTTCACGTAATAAATCTTGCTCATATGGATATTTTGCAAGTAAATACAATGCCCACATAGTTGTAGCACTCGTGCTTTCATGTCCTGCTATTAGAAATGTCATAATCTGCAGTAATAATATATAATTAAAACAAAATAATGAATAATTACTAATAATTATATTTTTCAAATATTACCTGATATTGTAATTCTTCATCAGTCAATTTCTCTTCAATAGGTAATGTTTTATTAATATTAATCAATAAGGATAATAGATCCTTACTTTTCAATTCTCCATTTTTTGCTTCATTATTTTTTTCTTTCATCAATTTCTTTGATACCCGGTCGATAACTGCACACGCATTTTTAAATTTTCGATTTATATCTATCGGAATGTTTCTAACAATTGGGATATATCTTGATAATATACTGATGAAAAAACGTGCGGCAGAATTTGTGTTATTACTAAAAAGAGCAGCATAAGCATCCGCCAGTTCGTTTGAAGATGTTAACGAATTAAATTCGTAATTAAATCCTAAATAAATAAATGGAATTATATAAGTATGGTGCTATTAATATATCACGGTTATCGCACATCTACGAAATTACACAGTTGTTTAATGCTGTAACCATGTAGTAATTATAAAAACGCCGATATCATCGTAAATTCGTGAATTTCACATATTTTTCTCACCAACTAAGCCAATAATATCAAGGGTAGCCTTTGATATGTATGGTGTAAGATTGATTTCGGATTCTCCTTTGTTTATTTTATCTTCTATTAATTCTTTTAAGGTAGAAGCCACTCGAATAAATGTTGGAACCATTTCCTAGATTGAAATAAATAAATATGTTTTATTAATGTAATTTAATTATTAGTTGAAAATATATTTATAAATATAATTACTTTAATATTATTATGAGCGAAAACTGGATTCATCATTTTTCTCTGTCTTTTATGATCTTCATTTTCCGCAAGTACAAGTCCTCTACCAATAATTAAAACAAAATCATTCCACATTTCAGGTGGTTTAATAAAATCATAAACATGATTTAATGTGATATCTTGAATTATTTTTGTATCTGCTATAACAATATTTGGTCGATTAAATGTTCCATTGTATTTTACAATATTCCCATATTTTTGTATCCACTCAAGAAATGGTTCCTATATATATATATATATACATATAAAAGATAGTATATGAGTTGATAAAAATACCAAACAAAATATAGATAATATATATACCTCTTTTGACAAAATCGATTTAAAATTTCCAAAAATTATGCTTTCAGATGGTGGGCCAGGAATTTTTCTCAAAGGGGAAATATAAAATGGCCAAATAAATAATTTGTAAGTGACCCATCCTATAAATCCTAAAACAAGAAAACCAACTAGAGAAGATAAATTAAGCATTTTTTCGTTTCTTTTTTTTTTTTTTTTTTTTTTTTTGAGAAATTTGGTTATATATTTATATATGAAGCGAACCCGGCTTTCGGCGATTTAATGGTTATTTATCCGTGATGTTTAAAATATTCCGATGTTTAATTGGACAAAAGAAAAATAAGAAAATATTAGTCATTTATGCTCACACAATCACGCTGTAATTGCATATGCAAACAGATCTTGTTGAAATCGGCGTCATTTTAATCAAATAAATTTTTTGTTTCCCCTTTAAATTAATGTTGATCCTCCGTGATTTATCTGTTGTGAGTTTGTATAGGTTATATTAATTTTCGCCCCTAGTTCCATTGATTCCGGTGAACCGGGTCCGATTGATCGACATCTGGAATTTTTTGATTTGTAATCATCCGGACCCATGACTACTGCCGTTATTACATGGAATCCGAGCTAATTCCACATCGGAACCTGGGGCGAAAATTAGTATAAGCTGTGCCTACGTATTACCACCACAACCTTGAACATTGTTAACTTTATTAATAATAACAAAAATACAAAAATCACCTATTACTATCCCGAGTTCATGCTTGGTTCTAAATAAAATATAATAAAACTAAAATAAACTAATAAAAATATTTCATAATCCAAATTTCTTATTCCACTAATAAAATCCCAAAATCCTAGATATAACTTTCAAACTGCGATAATTTCCCATAAGTAAACTACTTTTCGTATTGCATTCGTCATACGTTCAATAACATCATAATATCGGAACTAATAAATTCATTATACAAATATTATTAATTTTCCCACTTACTAATATTTATCGATTATTTCCTTATATGCTACTAAAATACTACGCCTCATTTTAATTCCAAAATTCATTCTTTTATAAAGCAAAAAATCAAACTTTTTTTTTTTATAAAAAATCGATCGGTTTCTTTATAAAAATACAAAATATAAGTTATTGGAAATGATTAGCATAGAAGTTAGAACTAGCTAAAATTTTTTAACTGGCTAAAATCTGAGTGTTCTGAAAGGGACGAGTCGGATCAGGTTTGAGAATGTACTTGAGCTCGACCCGAATATAAAAACCAAACTCGATAAATATTCGGGTTTACATTTATTGTAACTTGATCTCTGAAGTGGTTTATTTGGATGCCGTCTAAAATCCCAAAACTCAAAATCCTGACAGGTCAAATCCTGAAATCCAAAATCCAAAATCCAAAATCCCAACAGGTACGAAATCCCGACAGGTCAAAATCTTACGGAACGACTTTGGGCAGCATTAATGCTTAATGTGGGTCAATTTTTCAGGATTTTGTACCTGTTGGGATTTTGAACCTGTCAGGATTTAGGATTTCATACCATACCCATTTAAACAAGTGTAAAATTACATTACTTAAGTATTAATCTTTATCAAGCTAACTTGATTTTATTTGATGTATTTTAAGAAAAAGATATTTGTTTTTTTCATTTTTTTCTCAAGGTAAACGTTCTATGCGAAAAATTAGAGATATGTGAACACGCGATTTTAAATATATAATGTAAGTATTAGTATAATAAAATATGTATGTGCATATATACAGGGTTTCCTCATGTTATTGCCTCAATCTACGTCTATATCTAAAAAAATATGTATAACAGGCAGGAAAATCATTATTACTAGTAATCCGCAGTAACCAAATTTGTTATATATTTTTTTATAAAACTGAGGAGAGAGGACCAACCGGTGGCCTCTATGGGAATAACTCCTCCGCTACCCTTGTCCTTCAGGAAAGATGGAGGTTCCCGAACGGGTTCCTCAACGCGACCTTCTGTATAAAACGAAGGCCAAATAAATATTTTGAAGAAATAAATCTGCAATACATATGATCAATCAGATGCAACAATTTATCCAGAACTTGAAGTTCTTAATAACAAATAAAAACAAATAGATTTTAATACACATAAACTATAATCACATAACAATTTCATATAATTATTAAATATTAAGATGAAAACTTTTAACGAATCATATATTTATCAAATTATCGTTCAATTACAAACTGATTTATTTATGTAAAATAAATAACTTACATATACTCTATAATCAGTGTTGAACAAAAACTACATCAAATAAAGAATATTTAATATTTAACATACCATTAATTTTTATCTTGCTTATTAAAATAACAAAATTTGACATGACGATGACGTGACATTACCACATGATCTCATAATCTCACATGCATATGTCAATAGATAATCCTTAAGATAATCAACCAATAAAATATCAATTTAAATGTTATCATATTATATCACGTTCAATATATATATATTAATTTATCTTTCAACCATTATTCTAAATTTTTTATTTTTCTTCTGATTGTTTATTTTTACTTTCATCTTCTGTTGATATCCTACAAAATAAATAATACTTAATAAATGTTCATATAAAAAATAAACAAAAATAGATTTAACATACTTCGTAAAATCGAAGATTTCTACTGAATTATTATTAATATTGTCATACTTTGAAAGGTCTTTGGTAAATGGATTAAGACTTTCATCTTCTGTTGATACCCTACAAAATAAATAATACTTAATAAATTTTTCATATAAAAAAATATATAAAAATAGATTTAACGTACTCCATAGAATCGACGATATTTACTGAATTTTTATTATTAATATCGTCATATTTTGGAAGATCTTTGGTAAATGGATTAAGCAATCGAGAAGTATAATAAGCTTGTGGATGGTGATTAGTTAATTGACTATTTCCTATAGATAAATAATTTGCTTTTCTATATTCTTCTGCTTCTTTAAATTGCTTTTCAATTTCCTTATCTTTATTAGCTCCCATTCTATAACTGCAAGAATTACAAAATAATTCAATCAATTCATGTACTTCAATAGCACTTGGTCTATTATATTGGTCTGAATCCCAACACCTTTTCATTAAATCAATATAACATTTTGGAACTTCTTTTTCATTTATCTCAGGTCTAATTCCATTACATATATTTAATGCTAATATTTTATCATGAGCACAATTTGCAAAAGGTTGTTTTTTGGTTGCTATAAAATACATAATCATACCAAAACTGTATATATCTGCTGTTTGAGTGTAAGGTTTACCTCTTAATACTTCTGGGGCTACATAAGGCATAACTCCATAAATTTTTTTATTATCTATATTTCCAACTTCTCCACATAATCCCATATCTGAAATATATGTTCTACTAAATACATTTCCAGATCTTTCATCAGTAGCCATTAAAGATAATAATATATTTCCTGTATGAAAATCACGATGAACCATTTTATTTTCATGAATTTTTTTAAGACCTAAAATAATATAATTTAATACGTTTAATTTTTCAAACCAATACCAATTTATATTAATATAACTATAATTATTAATATTTCCACCATCTGCATAATCAAGAACCATAATATAATCTTTTGTAACTGGATTCTGTGATATTCCATATAAATTAAGAATTACATCACGACACTTAATAGAATACTCTTTGATCTATTAAGGATACAAAAAAAGTATATATTAAAAAATATTTAGTTAAATTCAAAAAAAAAAAGGAATTCATACCTCATTTAAAAATTCATTATTGATATTTTGTGAATTATCTAAACACTTTAAAGCAACTTCTTTATTAGGTATTCTTTTCAACTTTCCATCATGTCCATAATCATTTACTAATGGACCATCTTCCCATATTGCTGAATATATGGTAGCAAAACCACCTTTTCCTATTTTTTTAATATCAGTAAATTGATTATATGGTATCCATTCAACTATTATATCATCATAATGATCAATTTTTAATTGCATTCCTTGAATTAAATTATCAACTTCTTTATTTCCACTGGTCCAGATTGCAAAATTTTGTTTTAAATTATTTATTTGGCATGGTTTGCACCATTCATAATGTAGTTCTGTATATAATTTACCACAATTTTTACAATAACTATCTTGGAGTACTATAATATAATCCTTTGTATCTGCTGGATATTGAGATATTCCATATAAATTAGGATTTTCCTTACCATTATTATTAATGGAATAAGTTTTAATCTATTAAAATTAAAAAATTATATATTAGCTAAGTATTTGATTAAATCCAAAAAAAAATGAATTCATACCTCATTTAAAAATTCATTGTTAACATCTTGTGAATTACATAAATATTTTAGGACAACTTTTTTATAAGATAGTAACCTTTCAAACTCATAACCATAATGTAATGGACCTTCCATCCATATTGCTGAGTATCTTATATTTGAGGCATCTTTATTACTTATTTTTTTAATATTATTAAATTGATTATATGATATCCATTCAACTATTGTATCACCATAATTACCACCTTCTAATTGTATTTCCTTAATTAACTCATCAATTTCTTTATTTCCACTAGTCCAGTTTGCAAAATTTTGTTTTAAACTATTTATTTGGCATGGTTTACACCCTATATTTGTAACAGTATATGTTTTACCACATTTTTTACAGCAACCATTTTGAAATACTATAATGTAATCCTTTGTATCTGGATTTTGAGATATTCCACATATTATAGGAATACTATCAAACATATGAATGGAGTATGATTTAATCTATTAAGATATGAGAAAAATTATTATAAAAAAAAAATTTAATTAAATTTTAAAAAAAATAAATTCATACCTCATTTAAAAATTCATTAGTAATATTCTGTGAATTAAAAAATTTTTTTAATAAAACGTTACTAAAAACTTGGTTACTACTTGCAGTATATACTGCAAAAGAATCATTTTTGATTATTTCTTTAATATTATTAAATTGATTATATGGTATCCATTCAACTATTAGGTCATTACAATTATTAATTTTTAATTGCATTTCTTGAATGAAATTATCAATTATTTCATTTCCACTGGTCCAATTTACGAATGCTTTTCTTAAATTATTTAATACACATGGATTGCACCATTTACGACATATAACTGTATATATTTTGTTACAAGTTTCACAACGATCATTATCAACTACTATAATATAATCTTGTGTATCCGGATTTTGAGATATTCCAAATAAGTTAGGAAGAGATGATTCTTCCTTTACAATAGAGAATTCTTTAACAACCTGTTAAATAATAAAAAAAAAATTACTACATTGAAAAAATACTTAATTTTAAGAAATAACTTTTACCTCATTTAGAAATTCATTTGTAATCTTTTGTGAATTATGTAAACATCTTAAAGTAACTTTTTTATCAGATATCCTTTTCAATATCCCATAATGCTTATCATGCTGTAATGGACCATTTTTCCATATTGCCGAATATATTGTAGTAAACCCAATTTCACCTATTTCTTTAATATTAATAAATTGATTATATGGTATCCATTCAATTATTATGTCATTCCATTTATTTATTTCAAACTGCATTTCTTGAATAAAATCATCAATTTTTTCATTTCTGCTGATTTCATGTGAAAAGTATTTTTTGAAATTATTTAATTGACATGTTTTACACCATTTTTCTCTTATATTTGTATATACTTCACTACAGTTTTCACAATAAGCATTATCAAGAACTATAATATAATCTTTTGTATTTGGATTTTGAGATATTCCATACATATTAAGAATCCTATTATATGAATTGACTTCAATAGAATATGATTTAACCTGTTAAGATATAAAAATTATTATAACAAATAAAATACTTAAATTAAATAACAAATTAATTAAAAATCCATACCTCTTTTAAAAATTCATCATTAGTAAAACTTTGAGAATTATATAAACATTTTAATGCAATTTCTTTATTGGGTGTTCTTTTCAACTCTTCATTATGTTCATCACGTTGTAATGGACCATCTTTCCATACTGCTAAATATACTGCAGCAAAATTACTTTTACTTATTTCTTTGACATCATTAAATTGATTATATGGTACCCATTCAACTATTATATCATTCCATTTATTAATTTTAAGTTGCATTTCTTGAATAAGTTCATCAATTTTTTCATTTCCACTAGTCCAGCTTGTAAAATTAAAATTAATTCTCAAATTATTTAGTAAACATGGTTTGCACCATTTATAATATATATCTGTATATAATTCACTACAATTTTCACAATAGTCATTACTAAGGACTACAATATAATCTTTTGTATCAGGATTTTTGGATATTCCATATATCCACGGAATAGTGGAAAATTTATTAATGGAATATGATTTAATCTGTTAAAATATAACATAAAAACGGTTATTTTAATAAAAAGTACTTAAATGTTAATTATAAAATTTAGAAATCCCATACCTCAAATAAAAAATCATTGATATTTTGTGAGCTATAAAAATATTTTAAGGCAACTTCTTTATTAAGTTCTCTTTTTAATTCTCTACAATTCTTATCAAATTGTAATAGTCCATCTTTCCATTTTGCTGAATATATTGCAGTAAAATCACTTTTACTTATTTCCTTAATATTATTAAACTGGCCATATGGTATCCACTCGACTATTATATCATCATAATAACTAATCATTAATTGCATTTTTTGAATAAATCTATCAATTTTTTCATTTCCACTAGTCCAGTTTTCAAACCGATTCTTCAAGTTATTTATTTGACATGATCTACACCATTTATATGTATATACGATTTTACCACAGTTTAGACAGTAACCATCATTAAAAACTAAAATATAATCTTTTGTATCAGGATTTTGAGATATTCCATATATTTTGAGATAGGCATATTTTCTTTTTTCAATAGAATATACTCTAGCCTATTAAATATAAAAAATATTATAATTTAAGTATTTAAATAAAATTACAAAGGAATTAGAAATTTCAAACCTCATATAATAAATCATTGATGATATTTTGTAGGTTATATAAACGTTTTAAAATAACTTCTTTATTAGATGTTCTCCTCAACTCTTCATAATGTTCATCATGTTGTAATGGACCGTCATTCCATATTGCCGAATATACTGTGGCAAAATTACCTTTACTTATTTCTTTAATATCACTAAATTGATTATATGGTATCCATTCAACTATTGTATCCTTATAACTTTCAAATTTTAATTGTGCTTCTTGAATGAAATAATCAATTTTTTCATTTCCACTAGTCGAATTTGCAATATTATTTTTAAGACTATTTACTTTATTTATTTGACATGGTTTACACCACTTGTGTTTTATATTTGTATAAAAATCACTACAATTTTTACACTTAATATTATTTTGGGACGCCATTATGATTTGAATTTTTTTTTTTTAAAAAAAAAAAATACATATATATATATTAACTTTATTTATTGGATCGGCGTAATGAACTTTAAAGAAAGGTGGCGCAATGAACTTTAAAAAAAGGTGCATAATAGGCATAATAACAAATACACAAATTTTTATGCAATGACGCGTTGCGTGATTGTAGACCAAAATTTTACGCCAAAATTGAGTGACAAACAGAAGTCGGCTGCTAGTTTAACCGGCTCATCAAACGATGTAACTATAACCAAAAAAAAAGTTTGGTACACAAGTCTTTGAAGCTTTGAACAATTTTTTATAATAACCTTTTAATATACAGGTTCTTGATCTCAGAAACTTATTCCATATACCAATATTTTATATTATTTCCGTTAGATTTTAATTTCAGAAAAGAAGAAATTGGTAAATATTTTCGCCATTCTTGTACGTTCATGAAATTATATTCAATATTAAACAATAAATATTCTATATTTATTAATAATATAAAAAAATATAACATTCCTTATAATATATTTTATGTAACAGCCTTTCTTCCATTGCTTCAATTACACTAATTGTGCATTTTTTTTCCTTGACATTCATAATATAAGTGTTTGCAGATTCAAATATGATGAAATTCGCGTAATGTGACACATCACTGTAATCACGTCCGAAATGTAACGAAAATTTATAACTTTGAAACTTTCTCCGAGTAATCTTTGAAATATGTCGTAACGAATAAATTTGAAAGGATAGACTATGTAAAAATCCTTATTAAATGCTTATTATTATCAATATTTAAAAGAAGTTTCTAAATACATAAAAAAATTTTGAAATTTATTATGTAATAAAAAATTATTACTTTCAATATAAAACCATTAAACTTTTTCTTCCCAAATTTCATAATTTCTTGTCCAAGATATAGCTTTGCATTAACCAAAAAGGAAACTGATTCTAATATTAAAGTATCGAAAAAAAAATTGATTAGTTCGTACTATTTATACTTTACCTATATATCAATACTTGTACATCAACTTGCTTTCATGAAGAAAAGTATAATCATCGTGCCATCTCATGGAGTTTGTACGACAGTATCCGGATAGACTTAAATATGTAACTATTTTATTTGATAATAATATTAAAATACAGTATTAAACAATATAAATATTTTTATAAATTATAAAATATTATTTGTAGGAAAAATGAACACGAATTTTTCAAAGATATTACGAAATAAACCATTTTTTATCAAAAACTATACTTTATTCCGGTCAGCTGATCAAAAATAATTCGTAACGACGTAACGTATTAATCAACTTCGGTGGGATTTTATAATTAGTTTCTCCATTTTCGCTCTTTGCAAATCTTTGTAACTAGTTTTATTGTCTTTACTTAAAAAATAAAAAAATTATAAAATAAAATAAAATTAACGTATTTTTAAAATAAAAAATTAGTATATGGAATAGTTGGCTTTGGATCAAGAACTTTTCACAAAAAAAATGGTTAATTGGCGGTTAAATTGCAAGCCAAAATACTTTTGCGTCGCTCAATTTTGAAACATATTTAGTCTGCAATATGCTACATGAAATTAGATGTAATTGTTATTGCTCCACTTTTTGTAAGTTCGTCGAATATGGGATAGTAAAAAAAATTTTGAGGCTATAATAATTACTAAATTAGAACCATCGTATAAAAATATATTTTTTTTCAAAAAGGATTTATAAAAATTACTGTATATGTCGGCAACGCGTTACATGATATTTGGTGTAATTGTTATTACGCTATTTTTAAAAAAAATTTTGAGGTTATAATAATTACTTAATTAGGAACGAAAAAATTTTTATTATTTTTATCGAAAAGATATTATAATATGTTTATTTTTAAAGAAAAATTTACGTTTAAACTTATTATAATATTTAAAAATTATTGTCAGCAACGCGTTACATGAAATTTGATGTAATTGTTATTACGCCATTTTCTTTTTTAAAGTTCGAGGTTATAATAATTACTAAATTAGAACAATATATATAAATTATATAAATTACTGTATATGTATATGACCTGCATTTATTGCGTCCTTGAATCTAGTGTTTCGATCTGGATAAAAACCGGTGAGACGAATAGTTGTGGAGTCCGGTGAGGATGTTGAGTGGAGTACGGTGACATTCAGCGGTGTGTAACATAAGAGTTGTGGAGGTGGAGTACGGTTCCCTATGTGACAGTTTACTCAAGTGATAAATAACACGACGGGCCAAACACGTGATTCAGAGTGGGCCGAGCTGCTATTCATCACTGAGTACGCTTAACACCCATTATGTTACCGGTGAGACGAATAGTTGTGAAGTCCGGGACTCGATGCACCAGACTCTCCGGGATATCAATTCTGCCAGGCTCGCGGCCTGCCTTATAAAAAATAATCACGTATCTGAATTTCTTCAGAATAAAACTAGAAAAATGAAATTTTATCCAGAATTTTTTTTATGAGTTGATTGGAAAAGTGGCTGTTTTACCAGTTAATATAGCTCAGCTGCTCAGGTGTCATCTGTGGTCTTCTCTGTTAAGAAAGAGGATGAAGTGAAGTATCTTATTTCCATTTTGGTGGAACTGACATTAGCCCTGTTCAATTCTAGGTCGTATCGCTCAGATCGGAAAACAATTAACCGGTCAAACCGCAGTTACAATTGAGCACAATTTGTATGGCTCGATCGTATCATATCATAAACAATAAATATGGTTGGTCGCTGACACGCATCACGTTAATTTATCAAAATCGATCAGAGGCGAACACCTATTTTCGTGGATCGGTTTGACTGACCGCTGATCGTTTTTGTAACCAATAATCCGGTCCGATCTAGAATTGAACAGGGCTATTGTTCTCTTGTGAGCAAAGTTAAAATACTTGCTAACGAACACAAGCATTATCGCGTGGACGAACAGATGCAATTGCTCATATCGCTGAATGATTTCGAAATATTTAATACATAAGAATATGTATTTTTTACATTAAATTATCATAAGATTTTACAACCTTAGGCCATTCTACACATGTAAATCACGACCTATGTAATCTGAATAAAGTAAATAGTGATTTTATAAGTTTATCAGAAGATCTATATATTTTATTGGCAATATTGTTGTAAAAGTAAATGTTACTATAAAAAAAAAACAAATTATAAGTATTTTTATAAAGAAAATGAATAAAAAAATTCTCTCTCCATCGATCCCACGTGTTTATGTAATCGTTACAAATCGGTGCATGTAGGAATCGGCAGATTTCCGCGTGATATATCATAATTTTATCATTGAAATTATGAAATTTAAAGACTTTAATATTTTTTGTTCATGCTACAGATTATTTCCAGAATTTATGTACACAATTCAATATATGATTTAAGTTCATCTTAAAGTATTGCATTGATATTATTGATAATATTATACAGGTTATAAGTTAAAACAAAAAAATTCTATCGATATTATGTATATCGATAATACCAATGATCTGTTTGTTAGACGTGTTTTATGTTTTTATGAAAAAAAAACTAAAGATTCGATCGATCTACTTTCCTTATATTCAGTTGGCGGTTCCAGGATTTTTTTTTTATATAAATTAGGTCTTATTTATCACGTTCATTTGATTCATTAAACTCTTTATAAAACAATCAAATAAAGGTAGATTAATAGATTTTAGAATTATAAAAAAATCCTTAGTATGAAACACTTCATTGTAATAATATTTACAAAAGTTTTTGAATAACAAATACAATAAATTTTGAATTTCACGAGGGTGATGATCACCGGTGACTTAAATTATGACGATTGACCAGCATTAAAAAAATATAATGCCGGTAAAAATTAATAATTCTGGCCGACGGTGATGATCACTCCAGGTGATTTGAAGTAAAAAAACAAATTTTATATAATTCTTAATCGAAATCCCTATAAAAATTTTTATCCGAATATTCCGTGCCTTTCGTGAAAATGATACATTTATGGAAAAAACATGGAAATATAAACACAGATCAACATTTTTCACAGAAATATTTTTATTATAAAGTATGTACTAGCAACAGCCCGTTGTTTTCAATGAACTTAAATCATATGGTAAATTATGCACACAAATTCTGGAAATAAGCAGTAGCATGAACAAAAATATAAAAGTCTTTAAATTTAATAAATTTATATGATATATTACGCCGATTCCGATTTCCGATGACATGCGCTGATTTGTGACGATTTACAACATGAATATTGACCATAAAAACGTGGTATCATCAACGGAGAGAGAAATTTTTTATTCATTTTCTTCATATAGATAATTATAATTTATTTATCTTTTTATAACACCATTTACTTTTAGCTAAAAATCGTGATATTATCCCACGAAAATGAACGGAACAAATTAATTCTATGAATAGTAATTGGCGGAAAGCATACTACATGTTACAGTCATTACACAATTCAAATTAATTTATAAATTTATTTTAAATATATGGAATTTTTATATATTTATAAAATCACTATTTTACTTTATTATTCAGATTACATAGGTCGTGATTTACAAGTGTAGAATAAATAGCCCAAGGTTGCAAAAATAATGTGATAATTTATGTAAAAAAATTACATATTCTTGAGTATTAAATATTTCATGATTATTCAGCAATATGAGCAATTGCAATCTGTTCGCCCACGCGATAATGCTTGTGTTCGTTAGCAAGTATTTTAACTTTGCTCTGCGCTTGGAACAAGAGAACAATGTCAGACCCACCAAACTGGAAATAAGATAACTCATCCCCTTTCTTCACTTCATCTCCTTCCTTGACGGAGAGGACCACAGAGGACACTTGAGCCATACCGACTGGTAAAACAGCCACTTTTCCAACTTTCGGCGAATCAATTACAATTAGACCGCGAGTCTGGCAGAATTGATACCCTGCAGAGTCCGGAGAAACAAGTCCTCGAGTAGGAATGAGTCTATGTTTTCCGTCAGAATGTTTTTTAATATTAACTTCAAGATAGGTCTGGCCTGGAATGACTTTGGCTTCGAGCACTTTGCCATCGACAGGAGCATGCTGACGATGATAGTCGTATGGTGAGAGAAATGCGTGCATAAATTTTCCGCCGGCAAAGTCATTTGCATACTTACTGTCTGCAAGTAACTCGCCAATGGTCCAGGAGAGGCCTTTCAAATATACAATTGAATCAGTATTGATATCCCAAGAGCCATCGAAGGTCGAGTCTGCGGCACTCACGATAACTGCTGGATTGGAGGGGCCATCAATGGGCCGGGTCCCTGGCAAGAATTTTCGCGCGAAAAATTCGTTGAAAGAGTGCCCTAACCAGCCTCCTTCTGGAACCACGTAGGCGTCAACATTGTAGTTCTCCGCGGTATAAAAAGTCTGTAGAGATTCCTCGGTAAGTGATTGAGGCGTATCAAGAAATTGTCCCATAGCTCCGGCGAAATCGACTATCCACTTGGATAGCTCCGTTAACGGCGGTGGTGGGTACGATGAAGGCTTAATGGGTGACTGAAAATCTCTGACCGTTTTCTGATCGAGGACAAAGTACATCGTGCCAAGCATATTGTAAACAAAAGCTCCTGTTTCATCCTCTTTGGGCACCCATAACACAAAGTAATTAAGAAAATTGTAATAGTCGGTCAAACTGCTAATATTGGTCATATCTTCGACACCTGTCTTGTAAGCGTCATGGACCGCCCGCTCAAATTTATCCTTCCAGTTATTGCGTTCAATCATGTCCTTCAGCCTTTGAACAATAGGTTGATAGGACTCGGGTTTAGGAAAAGGCCCCAAAGGTTGTTCAGTCATGTTTTTCCGAGATAATGTCGACGGACTTGTTACTCGAAGTTGTTTTGTAAGAATCAAATAAAATTTCAAATATGCTCAAAGGCAGGGAGTTCAAAGATTTTCGGGCTTGTGGTAACTCAAAATAAGTTAGAATATCCTTAACAAGACATTGCTTCTCATGCAAAATTAAAAATAAAAAAACGTCTTGATGTTTGGCTTTTTGGTGGCGTGATAAAAAGAAAAGAAAATGGAGGCCCTGTTAATGCCTTCGTATCTTTATATATCATTAAAAGAAAATAATATTGCGCCAAAATGACATTATCATATAACTATTTTTCAAATGTGTTTAAGTGACATCTAAATGACGTAAAAATTTATATAATTTAAAAAAAAAAATGTTATTTGCAAATGACAAATGATAAAATGAACACATGTCATTTTTAAATGACAATGTAATTACCGATTCTCATTCGGTACAACAATAACGAGTATGATATGACCTTCGTTGTATGTAAGGTATGGTCAAATATCAGCTATACTGTAACTGTATAGAATTTTTAATATTGAGAGTAGGAAACATACTAACCATTCATACCAATTTTTAGTATCAAACCATATATATAATGAAGATCATATCATACTCATTATCATTACAATTAATAATATATTTAGTGGCGCATTACATAATTAACTTGTTGATCAAACCTCTAAAAAAAGTATATTAGTAATAATATCCGAAAATAGTTTGACAATTTGGAAATCTTCGGTTAATAGTATTGCCATGACAGCTTCTGCCACTCTGTCGCCACAAGAATTTATTCATTTCATAAAGTCATAAAATTTATAATTTAATAAAAGGTTTATTCTTTATTATGTAAGAATACGGTATGTCATTATAACACAGTTATTTATTAAATATAAAATAATATAATCATAAAATTTCGTCAGAACATTATAAAATAATTATAATAATAAGAAGTAATTGTTCTTTAAGAAAAGGAGTTAAAAGGAACTAAAAAGAACTAAGTCAAAAAGTTGGGGTTTATATAATAATTTACATGTTGATCCTTTGATCAACGTAAATAATAAATTAATTGCAACTTATTACATCATTATTAGTATTAGGATGATCTTCATTTCCAATCCAAATTTGGACACGAATGGTCACGTGACCGCGGACGAGGTGCTTGATGTGATTAAGGATTTAAGGAAGGAAAAAGAGACTGGAGAGGTGCCAGTTTCCAAAGAGGAGGTGGAGTTATATAATAAGGTAAATCAAGTTTGTTTATCACGTTTATCACCAGAAATTAAAAAAGAAGAAATTCCAGTTGACGAAAAAGTTGTACATAAGCGATGTAACAAGGAAGAGTTGAGTAGAGGGGTAGTTAGTAGTGATGATACTAACGAAGAGAGTGGATCAGAAACAACGCTTACAGCAGTGGCGAAAAAAGATAAATCCGCTCAAAGAGGGAAAGGTAAAAAAGGTGGGAAATCGAAGGAAAAGAATAAGAGGGGGTGGTAACTTTGTTAGTGAAGTATCTACTGTTAGTGATGGTAAGTATTAGCGTAGATTTTAATTAAAAATATTAAATTAAAATTATAAATAGCTAGTACTGTGGGTAACTTGTAGTTAGTTTAATTTTAGTTTAATTTTTGTTTTAATTGTTCTTTTTAGGGTAGATACTTTATTAGCAGATGCATGTCGTCTAAATTGTAACAAATTGTTTCGCAATAATTGTTATAATATTAATAAAGCTAAAATAAATAAAAAAAAAAAAAAAAATTTCCGATCCAAATTATTTCGGACTATTAATGTTACACAAAATATGGATGATCCCTATAATTCCGAAATACTCTATTATTTAAACTAAAATTAATCCTGGGTTTATGGCACTACAGTATAGTCAGACCTCTAGCCAAAATCCAATTCCTTGCCAGCATTATGCATTAAAATGTCATGTGATTTGGATGGAACCTTCAGGCGTGTTTGCCCAAATTCATACTAGAATGTCTCGTCAACGTTATACGTAGAACTGATACAAATAATGGAAACAAATGCCTTCCATCATATATAATTAAAATTGTTGACAATCTAGAATTTTGGAGTCGATTATATGAGCTTCAGAATTTATTGTTGTCACTATGTAGTGCATTGAACAAACTACAGAAAGATGTTGCACGTCTATGTGAAATTACACATTGTTTTAGTTGGATAATTAAATCTTGCTTCTCATGAAAATAAAGAATTTTGCGATCATATGATAACAAGATTAGCAAAAATAATGTTACATGAATTATTAAATATTATACTATAAATTTCTATATTACTATCCAATTAAAATCTATATATTTTCCTTATATTTATAAGATTTTTCTTTTTCGATCAAACACAAAACTCATGTCTTGAACAAGAAATTTTGAAATATAGAGAGAATGTATAATACTTATTTGTTGAAATGAAATACCGCCAATTTTTATAATGAAGTGTTTCATAGGAATTTTTCTATAATTCTAAAATCCATTAGCCTACCATTAACCTACCATTACTTGATCGCTTACATAAAGAGTTTATGCAATAAAGCAAACTGAACGTGATAAATAAGACCTAATTTATAATAAAATAAAAAATTCTGGAACGGTTAACTGAAAAATAAGGAGAGTGGATCGATCGACTCATAATTTTTTTCATAAATACGTCTACAAACAGATCATTGGTCATAATGTCGATATTATCGGTAATAATACAGGCTATAAGCTATAATAAAAAAAAATTCGGTGCATTATATAACAGTTTTGCATTATATATTCAGTTATAGTATTTATAGCAAATACATATTAAAGTTGCCCTCCGGTTATGGAACTATATGGATTCATCTACGATAGGTAAGAAAAAGAAACTAGGCGGCTTACATAGGTGCAGAGCCTCGAATCATAAAACATCTGGTTTATACTAACTCTACTAATACGAAAAGATCACGTGAATATTTCTCAGGAACAAAATTAGAAGTCGTTATAGATAATGAAATCCATCTATTTGAAAAATGCGCAGAACTACGTAATATGTGTAGTAATAAATAAATTGACTTTTAATTAATTATGAATTTAACATGTACAAATATATCAATGGATAGAATTCTATAATAAAGTACTAGCAACAGTCTATTGCTTCTTACCGGGATCAACGAACAACGAACTTAAATCATATAGTAAATTGTGCACACAAATTCTGGAAATAAGCCATAGCATGAACAAAAATAATAAGTCTTTAAATTTATTAAATTTCAATGATAAAATTATGATATAATTATGATATAATACGCGGAAATCTGTCGATATGCGCCGATTTGTAAATTGACCGTCGGACATAAACACGTGGTATCAATGGAGATTTTTTTGTTCATTTCTTTATATAAATACTTTATAATTTATTTATCTTTTATAGCACCATTTACTTTTACCGAATTATTTATTAACAATATAGTCAATAAAAATAATGGAACGAATCTATGATCAAAAAAATCTTTTTAGATAAAAATCGGGATATGTCCAACGAAAATGATCGGTAGCAATCCGTAATAAATTTTACGGAAACACGCTATACGTCACACAATTCAAATTAATTTATAAATTTTTTTAATATAAAGATTTTTTAAAATTATTATTTTACTTTATTCAGATTACATAAGTCGTGATTTACATGTGTAGAATAGCCGAAAATAATGTAAAATTTTATGATAATTTAATGCAAAAAAATTATATACTCCTATATATTAAATATTTCGTAATTATTCAGCAATATGAGCAATTGCAATCTGTTCGCCCACGCGATAATGCTTGTGTAATTCAGCAAGTATTTTAACTTTGCTCTGCGCTTGGAACAAGAGGACAATGTCAGATCCACCAAACTGGAAATAAGATATCTCATCCCCTTTCTTTACTTCATCCCCTTCCACTATTTTCCCATCCTTCCCAATCTCCTCTCCCTTAACGCATAGGACCACAGAAGACACTTGAGCCATACCGATTGGTAAAACAGCAACTTTCCCAACTTTTGGTGAATCAATCACAATTAGACCGCGAGCCTGGCAGAATTGATACCCTGCAGAGTCCGGAGCATCGAGTGCTCGAGTAGGAATGAGTCTATGTTTACCGTTAGAATGTTTTTTAACATTAACTTCAAGATAGGTCTGGCCTGGAATGACTTTGGCTTCGAGAACTTTGCCATCTACAGGAGCATGCTGACGATGATAGTCGTATGGTGCGAGAAATGCGTGCATAAACTTCCCTCCGGCAAAGTCATTTGCGTACTTACTGTCTGCAAGTAACTCGCCAATGGTCCAAGGTAGACCTTTCAAATGTACAATTGAATCACATTGATCGATATTCCAACAGCCATCGAAGGTCGAGTCTGCGGCACTCACAATAATCGCTGGGTTGGAGGGACCGTCAATGGGCCGGGTCCCTGGCAAGAATTTTCGTGCGAAAAATTCGTTGAAAGAGTGGCCTAACCAGCCTCCTTGTGGAACCACGTAGGAGTCAACATTGTAGTTCTCCGCAGTATAAAAAGTCTGTAGAGATTCCTCGGTAAGTGATTGAGGCGTATCGAGAAATTGTCCCATGGCGTTGGCAAAATCGACTAACCACTTGGATAGTTCCGTTAACGGTGGTGGTGGGTACGATGAAGGCTTAATGGGTGATTGAAAATCTTTAACCGAGTTCTGATCGAGGACAAAGTACATCGTGCAAAGCATATTGTAAACGAAAGTTCCTGTTTCATCCTCTTTGGGCACCCACAATACCAAGTAATTAAGAAAATTGTAGTAATCGGTTAAACAGCTAATATTGGTCATATCTTCGACGCCTGTCTTTTGAGCGTCATAGACCGCCTGTTCAAATTTATCCTTCCAGTTATTGCATTCAATCATGTCCTTCAGCCTTTTAACAATAGGTTGATAGCCATCAAAAGGACAAGGGAAAGGCCCCAAAGATTGCTTAGTCATGTTTTTTCGAGATATAATTTCGACGGACTTGTTACGCGAAGTTGTTTGTAGGAATCAAATAAGATCCAAATACGTTCAAAAGATTTTAATATTTAGTGATAACTCAAAAAATAAGAAATTGCTTCTCTCGGTGTTAAGGGAGATTGGAGGCTCTGTTGATGCCTTCGCATCTTTATATATTGTTAAAAAAAAAAAAATAATAATGCGCCATTTAGTCATCTACCAAGGGAGTCGTGTGAATTCTTGGCATAACGGGAATGGCTTTAGGAGGTAACGTTGATTTTTAGAATCGCGTTCCAAAAAAGGATATTAATTTGATATCAATACAACAGCTTGATTGATTCAAGGAACGCATTCTACTCATCGACAATTACTTCACTGACAATCATTTTACCGACAAACGTTCACCTTCGAAGATATGATCAGATCATATACATATACAGTAATTTATATAAATTTTTTTCTTTTTTTTTTAATATTGTCCTAAATTAGTAATATGAACTCTAAAAAAAGTGGCGCAATAACAATTACACCGAATTTCAGTAATTAATAAAATTAAATATAATTTACCTTTTTAAAAATAAATAAGAAAACAAGACATAATTTAAAATATTGTTATAAAAATAAATTTGATTTGCTAATAAAATTTTGTATATAAAAACAATATTTTTAATATTGTCCTAATTTAGTAATTATTATAACAATTTTTTTTTAATATTGCATATCATTTTAGGACGAATTTTAAAAAAAGTGGCTTAATAACATGTTATGTAACGCGTTACCGGCATATACAAAAAAAATTGAAGTATGAAAAAAAAAAAAAAAAAAAATTTTATTATTTTTATANAAAAAAATAATAATGCGCCATTTAGTCATCTACCAAGGGAGTCGTGTGAATTCTTGGCATAACGGGAATGGCTTTAGGAGGTAACGTTGATTTTTATACGATTGTTCTAATTTAGTAATTATTATAGCCTCTAATTTTTTTTAATATTATTTGGGACGAACTTTAAAAAAAGTGGCGTAACAACAATTACACCTAATTTCATGAACACATATTTAACCGTCATAAAGTGATGTAACTATTGATGCACAAATAATGAACACAACTTAGGCCGGCAAAAAAAATTTTTAGATTCTCCTCGAAAAATGGAAATTTTTTTTTTTATAGAAAAAATCTTTATCACGTGATTTAAGTTTTTGGCCAAAAAAATTTTCATATGAAAAAATTTTACAAATATAAAAAAAAAATGCCGGCCGGCCGGGTCATTTTTAAAATTTTATGTCACGGGAATCTAAAAAATTTTTTTGCCCGGCCTAAGTTGTCAAATTTTCAATATTTTTTATTCCAAACTAAACAAGTTTATTACGAGATCATTATTCCCATCATGCCTATTTTTATTAATTACTGAATCGCAATGACGTAAAAGTATTTACTTGATAACATCGTTAGTTTATTTCGTAATATCTTTGAAAAATTCGCGTTCCATTTTTCTTTTATAATTTATAAAAAGTATTTATATTTTTTAATACTGTATTTTAATATTATTAAATAGGACAAATAAAATAGTTGCATATTTAGGTTTTCTATCAAGAAGCATCTCAAGGTCGATGCTGTCGTACAAACTTCACGAGACGGTAATAAATGTTTTGCCGTCTTGGTTATGAAATTATATTCAATATCAACAATATTAACCCTAAATATATTAATAATAAAAATAATTTTCGTGACAATTTATTTTAATGTAACAACTTTACAATGATTATCATGATATTTAAATTTTTTGATTCAATCTAATTAATCCTGGAATGGCTCTATAATTGTTACTTAGGGTGAATCGGTAAGGAGCCGAGAAAAAGCAAGTTGATTCTCCAAGTATTGATATATAGGCGAGACCACTATCCATGATAACATGACGAACTAATCAAAATTTTTTTTTCCTGATACTCATTACTTATTAGAATCGGTTTCTTCTTTGGTTAATACAAAGCCTACTATATCAATCTTGGACGAGAAATTATGAAATGTAGGAAGAAAAATGTAGTATAATTGGTTAATGATTATATATTAAAAGCGAAATGACATTTTTTTCAATTAAGAATTTTTTTATTACATTATAAATTTCATAATTTTTGATAATTAAAGCATTTCATAAGGATTTTTCCATAGTCCTATCACTTCATTACGACATATTTCAAAATGATGAAAACCGATAGCATCTAACTTTTTTTTTGATCGTTTTATAATTAATTTCTGTAAATGATACAAGCTGACGTAATAAATATGTAAATTAATATGTGCGAAAGTTATTTAAAAGATTACTCTATGAAATTCTCTCAAAGTTAATCGTTACGTTTCTGAATTCCGATAATAATAATAAACGTGATGCATGATATTGAATCACGTTACGCGACTTTCATATTTGAATCTGCAAAGATCGATCAAAATTAGAATGGTTAATTTCGGCTGAATTATGTCCCAAATCTAGCCGATCTTTGGAGTCGCCGACACGTTATTTAAACCCATATGGATGGTATGATTTTTTATGTATGATGGTTTTCAATCTAAAGTATGCAAATCCTAAGATATCATACAATTTTACATACAAATACATGGCGATCAAGCAAAATAGTACGCTACCTATCAATCTCAAATAATAATCAAAAAATAGATCAAATGTTAAAGAAAAAGACACATTTTAATTTAAATATTATAAATATACTAAATAATTTGTAAACAGTCAATTTTGAAAATATATTTGTTGAACATAATAAATATAAATTAGTCGATGTATCATTTATAACTAAACCCAATTTCACAAATAAACAATTCTTAATAAAATCAACCTAAAAAAAAATTAAATATTGGACACAAATTCTATGATATCTCTAACAACTGATTTAGTGTCTTCCCATGGTGGCGAGTGTCCAACATCCTTATAAACGATTTTTTTCCCATTCTTAGCAAGATTTGCAAATTGTAAACTATGTTCAAGCGTAATTAATTTATCTTCCTCCCCGATAAGATTTAATGTTGGAATATCTAAAGAACTAAAGAAATCTCTAAAATCAAATGCTATAATTAAATAAAATTTTCTTAATTAGTTATATATAATAATGATTTTTTTTAAAAAAATTTTTTTTTTTAATTAATACTCACGTTTAGCTTCATATTTTCGATATTCAGGTGGTACAATAATGGAATCACCAAGCTTTAAAGCACGATATTGATCAGATGATGGTTTAAAAGTTCTAAAATTCGACAATCCGTTTAATCCATAAGCAATTGTTGAAAATTTATAATCTGGATCATTTGCTGCAATGGAATATTTTACAATTTCTTCAGTATTTAAACTTGCTTCTGTAAAGTTTAAATGTACCATTCCTACAACCGAAATAAATCCATCAATTTTGATATCAGGATTATTTTTCATAAATGTCATAGTAGTTGGAGTTCCCATTGACCATCCAACTGTAATTATTTTTTTATTTGGTTTGTCTGTTTTAATTTTTGTTATTACGGCTTGAAGATCTTGTCCACTTAATTCAAGTGAGTACGCTTTAACATCTCTAGGTTTATCACTTCGTCCAGTTCCTCGATAATCCCATCTAACAAGATGAAATTTTTCTCCAAGTTCTGTATCATACCATAATGGATGCCAAGATTGTCGTGATGCCATATATCCACTGGTAAATAAAATTGTCGTCTTTTCTGGATTTCCTTTTTCTTCTACATAAATTTGAATTCCATTTCCACTACTAACATAATAATTAACAGTTTCTATTGGAAATGTATAAATAGGAACTTGCGCAATTATTACTTTAAAAAAGAAACAACTAATAATTGTTAAAATTTTGATCAAATTCATTTTTTTTTTTAACTTGGTGATAAGAAAATAAATATTTTTTTTTTTTTTTCTTTTTCTCAATGAAAAGGTTTATTTACTGTCTATTTATGATAAATCTTTCTCAATTTTTTTTTGTACTTAATTAATAATGTTCTAGATTCTAACCTTTGACCGCTTATTTAGAAATCTGTTTACATATATATGTCTAAATTTCCTAAAATTTATAAAATCATTATATCAATCAAAGTTGAATCAACCCCCATTTTAGCAATATATTTTTAAAAAATGACGTTACGACTGTCACGTGATAATAAGTATCTCTCAATTTAAAATTTCCCTTAAAATTTTCTTTTTTTTCAAAAAGATTTATATGTTGAAGTTAAAACGATCAAAAATCAAATCTATCAAATCTAAAGAAACATAAGAAACATAAAATATTAATATTATAATGGCAATTGTTTTTTTCACCTCTTTAACACTAGAACCCTTTTTTTAGCGATCAACTCCTGCATTTGGGTGATAAGAGAAATATTGAAAGCTTTGATTGACACAAATGTAACGCAGTATTATCGGTTATACAGTATCCGAAGTCGCAAACTACCATTTTTTTCAGTGTAGGTTCGTGAATTGAATAGTTAACATACTATGAATATAAATCTAGCAAAATAATAAAGGTTTAAGTTATCTAAATAGAAACTAATAAAAAACGAGGGTCATAACCCATACATTTATAAATTAATTTCAATGGTATATTCTTTACCAAAGTCGTAATTATTGTCCAATCACAATAGCAGATCTCGTTTTTCAAACATTGATTTGTTGACACCCAATCATTCATATTTTTTTGGTTCACTGAATAGTACAGTACTCACATTTATTCTTGTTTAGATTAACTGCACATGCATGATGCTTAAGATTTTTGATTATTTGGAGGAAAATTGAAAAGTCATTAGTATTATCTCCTGCATTGTCATATTGAACAAATGAATCACCAAATTCAGCTGAAGTAGCACATAAAAAATAATATTTTTTCGCTCTGAACTTACAATGGTTGACTTACAATTAATTGTTGCATTATTAAATTAATTTTCATCTAATAGAAATCACTTTAATTGATTCTTTGATAATTAATTCCCAAATTTATTCAAATTTATTTAGCAAAAGATCCGTTAAAAGTAACAATAACAGATAGAAATAATAGAATAATTTTATTATCGCTTTTTATGCGCGTTCAAGTCTAAGGAAGAAATTTCTTAGGACCTTATTACGGTATGTGATTTTAGTTGTCAAAAATTATTTAATCAATACTACGGAATTTTATTCATTTAAATAAAAATACCGTATCTTATTAATAAGATAAATATAACGCAAATAATAAATCATCAAGTTATCCTAATCAGTTTATAAATTTCTAATTTAAAATCGGTACTATATTTCTGTCCATTAATTTCATTTTTTACACTGACAATAATCCCCATTTCTAAAGATAAATTCAAATAATAGCTTATCAAGGAGGCCTGAACCAGGAAGATTAATAACAAGTTTTCCCAATCAAAAGCTGCATACCAGGTAAATGTATATTTCCCCGGAATATTTCAGATCATAATCGGATAATATTATTAATGCTTATTCGGAATATAATATTTTTTTCGATCTAAAAAAATTTCCAGGATCAACTGGAAGTTAAACTTACTAGTACGCTCGAATAATGCCATAACGTTTAATAAAATTTTCCATCATATAAACCCTGTTTTTAATTAAATTTTTTTTTTGGACTACTATATTACTTGAACTTTCTTTTTTGACTTCCATAATTAAAAATTCATTTCTTTATTTATTTATTTATTTTTTAAAAAGAATGAAATCATTTATTAATGAACTTCATTGGATCATTAATATGAACGCATTGTAAATCTTTTTTAGTAATTTTCCGAATGAGATTAAATGAGAGATTTTCGAAACACTTTTAAATTTTGTTTATTAAATGAATGAATCATATGGGATATAATAATATCGGATTCTCGGAATAAATCCTGTATGTTAAAGGGCAAGTAAACTCCAAATAAGGATAAGTGAATATTTTAATAATTAATAATTTTGAACATTTTTTGACAAGTGAAAATATTAGCCCCAAATATTTCAAAAAGTTTAACCAAATGGAAAACATACAAAAAGTTATTTTACCTTAGCTACTATTTTTTTGAAACCGTCAAAAACGGTTAAATTAGTTTATTATAATACTATATTGCATAAAGGTAAAATCTCTCTGATAGAAAAAAAATTGTTATTAAGGGAATGTTAAAAAAGTTCATAATTTTTATAATCTTTTTTTATATATGATATACATTTTGAACGCGATCTGAAACTTATTTTAGCGTTAAATAATAATTTTTTTTGGTAAAAAATGTTTATTAAACCACGTTACTCTTGAAGCTAAATAATTATTTCTTCTTTATTGCATTTTAATTTTATTTCAAGTTCTCCATTAGGCTTCACTTGGATACGACCATTCTCATAATTAGCATATCATTTCCAGTCATTTTAGTTTCATGGTCATTGTATCGAAAAATAGTGTAAAAATCTTCTCTATTACCAATGTGAATTGAAGATTTCAAGTGGATATTCAAGTGAAAAATTATTCAATGTAATTATTGTTCTTTGAAGTGTAAATTGAATACGACAAATGACTGTCGCCATCTTAGTGGAACTGAATTAAGGGTAAAAGATAGATTAAAATGCATGTTGACTAATTTTATATGTCAATCTGTTTATCAACGCCAAGAGCCAACAACACTAAAGAAATTTCCGAATCCCGCACCCGTGATTAATTTAAGGGCAAACGATGAAATGGATAATATAACATTATTGGACAATATATATACTTAAAAATTTAATTTTTTATTTATCAATAAGCAGGAAAACTTTTATTTCTATTCAAATATACTCGAAAATATAATGTATTCGTAAATGAGAAAAAAAAAAATAATATAATATAAAATGGAATAATCTATTTACTATATGTCGTAATGTTCAAGTCAGAATCTTTATCTTGTGTTATTTTACTTTTGTTAGAATTAGTTGGTAAATTGTTGATTATAGGATCAATGCTATCAAGTTCTTCAATTACTTGACAAATAGGTGGTCTCTCGTCTGGTTCATGTTGCCAGCATTCTATTTAAATTTTAAAGAGATTAAATTATATTAATCTTATTGCAAAAATAAATTTTACAATTATTTTTTTTACTTACTTTTATAAAGTGAAACGAATCTATCATTTGTTTTTGGAATAGGATTTTCTCTTACACGATTAAGAATCATCAGTTTAATAGAATCACGGTCAAATCTTTTTTCGAAATTGAAAGGTGATGAACGACTTGTTAATTCCCAGAACAATACCCCTAAACTATATATATCTGATTTTTCGGTCAAACCATATTTTTGAATTTCGTTCTGCTCAAAAAATTTGGGATCCATATAGGGT